ACCTCTCAATTCGGGGGAGCCTCTAGGCTGTCATCGAAGGGGACCTCGTCCGGCATCCTGACGTTCTAGTCCCCAAGAAGATTGGTGAAGGGATCCGACTCCACCTCCAGGTCGGGACACTTCGTCCGGACGCAAGCAAGGGCGACTCGGTACCCAAACTCATAAGTTACTTGGCCCGATCTCGGCAAAACAAGCTCGAACCCTGGGGACTTCTTGTATTCGGAGATAGCCTCTTTCACTCTTTTAAGTGCCAACCGGTGCTCCTCAGCCAAAGGCTCTTCCGTTGCCCGGGACGCTGACCACGTAGCTTCGGCGTTTTGCGAAAGGGTCAATAGCTAGTCATCCAGAGCCCGAACCCGCCCCCGACTCTCCATCAATTGACGTTAGGAATCGGCCAGCTCGGCCTTTAGTCGTTCGACCTCAGCTTCTAAATCCATGGCACGCTGCTCGGTCGCTGGACCAGGCCCACCTTTTAGCTCCTCGATCTCTTGGTGAAGGCCCGAGTTTATCTCGCCCATGCGTTCGATCACCCTACCGACGTCGTAAACGCGATCGATCAAGGCCATGGTGTAATGTTGAACCTGCGTAGGATTGACGTCAGCACCAGCTTCCAAACAGTAGCAAGAAAAACGCCAAACTCACCCAAACGAGGGACTTGGCCGCCCGATCCATCAGCACCACGGAGGGTGAACAGTATAACTGCTTCGCCAGCGTCGGATGCAACACCCCCCGCGAGAACTCTTGGGTCGCCGACCCATCAGACCAGATCCTACTCTCAGCTTTGAGAGTTGGCCATCTTGTGTTGTAGGGAGCCCCCGGCTCCTCCGCTGCAAGGTCGGCCATATTAAGGGCCTAAAAAGGCTCCCCTTCGGAGCGAGCCCGGATGCGACACAAGTCCCGCATCGACTTCGGGCGAACTGTAGATCTCTCTGAAGGGCCTTCACCAGGAGAGCCGACACGCCCTCTCTCCCGCGCACATGTCAAACCCTCACCTTGGAGGCTGCCACCCAACTCACCCATCCCCGGGGTCGCCACTCTGCTGTTTGCCATGCCTTCCGACACCTTCTGGGTGCTGACCTTGGCCTTCTTCTTCGGTCGACTTGCCTCCGGCTCCCTAGGCGACTTCGACCCATGCGCCGATGTGCCCTTTTTCGAAGGAACCCCGGAGCCGGATCCATCGCACTCCCGGGTCAGCTGCGCCACGGCCAAAGGGCAAGGCATCCCCTTCAGAATCTAGAGGTTCACCATTTCTGCGAAACAAAGGTTCGATTAGTAAGACGTCAAAAAAAAGAGCACTTCGGGCACGAATCTGATTGTACCCCTAGTGGCTGGGCTTAGCCCCGCTTCAACCAACCACTCCTCGGTCATTCCCCTGATGGCTAGAGAGGAGGACAGGATCTCTCTCAATCGCTCCACGTGCTCGGTCTCTTCATGTCAAAGAAATGGGGGAACATTGTTAATAGCTCGAGAGGTCCACCCAACGCAAAACCCCCACCTCCGACTACAACTCACGAAGAGATGACGGGTTTTCCACCCCTTGTTGTTGGAGGGTGCCCCGTTAATCTTAAACCCACTTCGGGCAGTCAAGTAATACCCGCCCCGCCCCTTGCACAAGTGAAAGCAAGCTAAGAAAAGGGTTCGGGTCGGTTCGATCCTTGCCCCTCGACACTCCCCGAGAAAAACCACTAGATAACGTCAGGAGTTCGGCGCCATCTGGGATGGTGAGATCCCCCACCAGCGGAGGCATTCTTTGATAACCGGGTGCGACGGGAAGCGCAGCCCCGCCTCCAGAGCATCTGTGGTCAGCCCAAACCCATTGGGAAACGGATCGTAAGGACGCGGAGCATAAAGTCCATAATTCTTCGAGAGACTGTAACGATCCCGAATCGGACCTAAAAGGTTCTTGGTCACCACCGAGTCGACATCATGCCATGACCTCATCACTTGAAGGGCCGCAAAGGCCTTTGAATCCGCCGGGGGCGAGTCACCCGACAAAGAACTGATCACCTCAACCCTAGAACTATCGGAACCCGAGTTGCTGATCTCGGAAACCGACTGACCCGAAGAGGGGGAAGACGAGGAAGACGAAGACATCCCGACCTCAAAATAACGAGCAGCGATCCGAGGCGCGAGCAGAGAAAACGACGACTGAGCAATGCCACTGCATTCCACAGTCAGGGGTTTATAAAGAAGAAACACGCCACCCCAAGCCGACGTTTGGACTCCCCGAGGCAAGAAGTAATGTTAGCATCCAATTTGGCATAACTCCCCAGATCCCCCAAATTTGCCGAATTCCCGCCAAAAATCCGTAAACCACCAAAAATTCATGCCAGAAACATGTAATGGAGCACGAACGAGTCACGCAACTCGGCCAACAGTCATACGAGCAGCGTCTTGTCCAATCAGTCCATCCAGTGCCCGAGTCACGCAACTCGCCCAGCGGACGTACGAGCAACATCTCATCCAATCAGTCCATCCAGTGCCCGAGTCACGCAACTCGACCAACAGTCATATGAGCAGCGTCTCGTCCAATCGGTCCATCCAATGCCCGAGTCACGCAACTCGCCCAGCAGTCGTACGAGCAGCGTTTCGTCCAATCAGTCCATCCAGTGCCCGAGTCGAGTAGCTCGGCCAGCAGGATCAATCTTTGCCCGAGTCACGTAACTCGGCCAATAATCGTACGAGCAACGTCTCGTCCAATCAGCCCTTCCAGCGCTCGAGTTAGATAGCTCAACTAGCAGAATCAACCTTTACCCAAGTCATGCAATTCGACCAAAGGACTCACAAGCGACGCCTCACAAAGTTGCCACCCGACCGCTGCTTTACCAACCCAGTCGTGCCCTCAGCTCCTCATAAGGACCCAAAGACATGGCTTGATGGGGGGGAGAAGTGATAGGGACACATTATGGATCATCCTACAGGGACCTGACCCCCGCCACATCAGCCCGAGCACAAGACCTTGGGAGGGAGATAGAGCCACGACAGATGTGCCACTAATAATCCGGGATGCAACGGTCATCTCCCCATGCCGTTCGGCATCGCATGGCGCCGTCCCACGTATCCCGAACAACGAACACACGAAGGTACATTGGCCGCTCACCGGGGTCGATCGTACGGTCGACCCCCGGGAGTCACAATAAAAACCCCTTGCCAGCATCTGACGGGGAGGGGGGGGGGGGGGCGGGGGAGGGGGGGCATGAGAACATTAGTAGACCACTGACTCAAGCTTCGGAGGGGCCCAAGTCGGGATCATCCCCCATCCCGACCTAGGTGCAGCAAAGGCGAACGAGTTCGGGGAAGAAGAGCGTCGCCACCAAGTCCAATCTCGACCCGACCGACCGAGATCTTCGAGATCCTGGACGTCACAGGGTTGACCAAGCCGTGTCAGCCTCGCAGTCACGGCACAAGGTTCGCAGAACAAGATCATTATTTCTGAGTTGATTGTGTTATCTTCAAACTGGACACTAGTGCAAAGGCAGAGACATCCTAAAACACTCCTCCAATTCAAGAACCATAAGGAAAAAGGATTCTCGGTGATCCCACTTTCTTTTTACTGGTCTCAGATGGTCGATGTTTTACCCCTTTCTGATATTCCATCCACCACTTTCTGGTCTCAGTACATGAACCTTATTAGATCAATTATCCAATACTATGGATCTCATCACGGGAACTGGGGAAAAGAAGAAGAAGAAGTAGAAAGAAAAAAGCGAATAGATGATGCGTCCATACTACAATGATCACAAGAAAGTCTCAATCGGTAGATTATTTCAAAAAAAAAAGGTTAAGGACCTAATAGATTATTTCAACCTAAAATACAAAAAAAAAACACTAAAACCACGTCAAATAGATTATTTCAACCTAAAATGCCAAAAAAAAAAAACTAAAATTAAATTGAGAGAGTAAACGGGAAGAAAAGGTGAAGGACCTCGTTTTGCAAGCGAAGACGCTTCTCAAGGGAATCAGATGTAAGGGTTTCCTGCATTTTTCCACGAGATCGATCGATAGAGGGCTGTCGGTCGTCGATCGAAGCGACGGAGGAGGATAGATAGAAAGCAAGAGGAGGCGTACTATCGGCGGAGCCACAGTCAACCGTCAAGCAGATTCCTTCGGCCCGAAAGAAAGAAAGGGCAAAAAGATGGAGAAATTTCAAAGATGTTAAAATCTCAAACCTCTTATAGTTTTTATTTATACGATCTTTTTAAGTTGCCGCAGTTTGGTGAGTTGACGATCGATTGATGAGTAAGAAATGGTTTCTTCTTTTGTGTTTTTGGCAATTTTCGGAAAAAAAAAGAAAAAAAAAAAAAGAAAGAGGATGATGGATCAATCCATCAATTACTTGATAGTCAACTCGGCCTATTTGTTGGATGGGATAATATCCATCCAACAAATAGGGAAAAAATTTACTGATAAGGAGAACACTTTTTTATAATACACATGATTAGTAAGGTAAGATATTTAAAGAGGTGAGGTTTTCTAAACAACAATAATTAACGAAATCAATGTGTACCAGATGAAGGTTCGTGAACTCAACAACGTTGCTGCAAATTTCCATGAGTCATCAGGCGTTCGTTACACAGCTTTGCATGGACGTTTGTCTACCTCATCCTTTTTTTTTTCTTTTTCTAAACAGTGGACAAATAAGGTAGAACAAAAATTCATTATCTGTGTGTGATGTTTGAACCAGCACAAAAGGATTTTAATCCGACTACAACAAGCCCATCCATCCTGCAGCTGGACAAATTGAACACAACTCGATTTGAAACTACTCAGCCAGGTAAAAATACATATTTCACATAATATATTTCCAACTCAAAAAATGTTCATACTGCAACAGTTGCTTCCTCGAAAAGTTGCCACATCATCATCAGTATAAACTAAAATAATTCTTCTCACATTGGTGTAAGAAATCTTTAGCTGCACCATACTATTCACTTAAAGTCACCTTGCCTTCTCACAACTACTTTCCCTTGTCTGCTTATAAATTTTACCACAACTTTGAATGCTCAAATGGACAATCTTTCAAATTTACCTTCACATACTCTGCAGTTATTTGAAAAGACAAAAAACAAGACTTAACAATGGTGAAGATTGGCATTCTAACATACTGCTTCTACAGCCTAGTCTACAGACATGCTGGGAGTGTGTTTTGCCTCAACTCGAAGATGGTTGAACGCAAGTTACAGATGCGGACCACCTTTCTCACTTGTTTCAACAATCTAAAGCTGTTTACGTCGCAGCATCTTGCAGAAGCCTCATCATGCTGCCAGAGTCGGATTTTGGTGATGGTTCTTCCTCTCGCTCTGGTTGAATGTTCAAATCAATCTGAGGGGCCTTGAGAGGAGACTGCGATGCTCTTCTTCGCTCGAGTCCCTCATCACTGATCCCCTCATCATTTGTCATTGCTTTCCGAGGGGTTTTGTTCACACCTAGATCAGTTTTTAATGGGTCACTTCCTCCTGGTGCTTTCTCTGGTGATTGGTTGGACTGTTGTTTCTGCTGCTTCCTTGCAGTCTCAGCTTCCTTCTCTGACTGACGCTTCTCCCTCCTAAGCATGAGGGTCCTGAACCTGCGTTTGACTGTGAGGCAAACATTGCATGTGCAAGTCTGCTTGTGCTTAGGGCCCTTGCCACTTGGAGGCTGTATACATACAATGCATGTGCAGCCAGGCCTATGCCTTGGATGCTTTGTTGTAGGTTGAGAAGGGGGAAGGTTTTCACCCTCTCCAAGAATGGCAAGGTTAGCAAGCGTATCCAGCCCATCTGAAACTTCAATATTGTCAGTTTCAACTTTAACCTTTGATCTCTTAGATGCACCTGCATTACTTCAAAAACATTACTAGTACTAAATGTCACCATATCAAATGACACATACAGAGAACAGAATAACAAATCAAAATTACATTCAACTTTTTAACTTCACAACATGCTTTTTTAGTAACCAGAAAATTCTTAATAGTTAATTCACTTCACATGAACTTGAATATATAAAAATGTAAATTTGTAAACAAATATACATAAGATTGAAGAGCAAAATTAGGCATCATAAATGTGATTTAATATTGGGAGGATCAAAATCCACTGCTGGTGCAATGATTATCTATTGTACTTTTCTTTCATATTGCTTAAGGCCACATCATTCTACAAGGATGATGTGGCCTTAAGCAATATGAAAGAAAAGTACACATTAGTACAAAAATCAAAGCCCCCTCAGATAGGTTCCCATAGGTACTGAGTACCACCAAAAATTTCATCAGCATATGACATGAAATTTGACATTGAGGCACCCATATAATATGAGCCACCTCAGATAGTGGTACAATCCTCTATAAAAAGCCTCTACCAAGAGTAGAGACTGATCCTAGAAACATTAGGTTTGTTTCATTTGCAAGTGTCCCAAGACATATTTTTGTTTTCCAGTGGACATGCTAACAAGAATAGAATATCTTTGTCTCCACCACCAAACAGTTCTTCAATGCTTGAAATAGTATATAATGTTTTACCCGTGAATTATACATGATTACTAGTCATATTGAGGAACATTTGACTTTCTGCACTTGATTAATCAAGAAATTCAAGCATACTCGAAAGATTTAAAACGAAGATATCCACACCTGCTTTACAAGGGATCAATTCTGCCAGTTGCTCCATGCTCAATTCCTGAGCAGCTGAGCACAAAGACCTAAATTGAAAGAATATAAAATAGCAGTCAAGCAAGTAAGTGGAACAAAGTTACATGTCCAATCTACAAAATCTGTATTGATCAATAGTTAAAAACCCCTGATAAATCAAATATTCAATATATCTCAAAACAAAGCTTCAGAAACAAAATTTACCCCTAAGCATAACTGCATGATTTTCAACTGGCAGAAAACTTGGTAATTTTAAATTTAATAGTAACTTGTTAGACTTAAATTATAATAATCCTAGTACTTTCCATGATTTATGCTGCAAAATTTGGGACTTGTACTTTCAAGTGGTACATATGAATGAAGCAACAAGGGGCCATCCTAGTCTCAGACACATCAACTTGGTTGACAAATACTTCCAAAGTTTATTTTAAGGCATAGTGGGAAAAAAACCCATCTTTTAGGAAAGGTGACCACACAAGGTGATTTCTTTTGTGCAGGAGATACCAGCTAAATTATATGAACCCCAGAACCTGCATATCAGTCACAGGCAACAGGCAACATAGGTGCATTCACATGATATTGTCCCAGGTAATTAAGCTTATAGGCCACAAAGTTGTTCATTTCACTAAAAGACAGAAAGAACTTAAATTGATAGTGATATATTGTCCCAGGTAATTAAGCTTATAGGCCACAAAGTTGTTCATTTCACTAAAAGACAGAAAGAACTTAAATTGATAGTGATACCAGAAACATACTCAATCTACTGGTGGCCAACACTCTATTTATCTGCACAAGCGTGCACAATAATTATCAATTACAAAAAGGGTAGATGGACACAACAAAAGAGTTCATATTAACCTGTAATTGAATAAATTGACATTATGTTTTGTTTCGTAAAAATATCATCCAGTGGAAAGTAATCTTATACTCTATTGTAAATGAAACCTATTGGAATAAGATTTCCAACTTTTAAGTAACATTAGCAATGACTTCCTCATTAACAAGTTTGGATACGAGACTAATCCCAGTCACCTTTCAGGATCCGACATATTGTTGGAACAGGTCCATCTAGATGGCAGAAGTGCATCTACAGGCAGTCGACGCCATTTTGAGCAATCTTCGCACTGAGCCCATTGATAGTTTTCACTGTCACAATGCACAAAACATAAGTAACATTATGTAACTATTGCCTGTTAAGGTTGATGCTAAGATGAATATGGAAATGATGCCAGTACACTAAGCTATCACATCATTTCAATTTGAAATTTAAGATGAAGTCTTCAATCATGTCAGTAATCTCTTTCATCTATATATACATATAAAAAGAACACGACAATCAGGAAAAACAAAAAAGAGAACCAAGAAGTAAATCTCAAAAACACACGACACTCGTAGAGATACTAGACAGAAGAAATGATATAAGCAAGAAGGGAGAAGAATACGAAAGTAGAACCACAACAAGAAATCAAATTTGTCACGATGCCACACTGACTGAGACATGACACGAAAGAAACTAGACCAATTTTGTGCATTGGTATCATTGTTTCAAGGTATAGGAGTGTGTTGAAAGTTGAAACATTCCCGGCATAGCACAACTGGCCATGCGGCTATCGTATATATCATAGACCAAAAATCGATGTATCCATAGGTGAACACCTTCATATGATGCATATTAAAACTTTCTGGGACTTACATTTCGACCTGTGCAAGCTCGTGCAATTAGTGATCAGTTTATCATGCACCGGTGTGGAGTCGAATAGGTAACAAATATACTAAACAGATCTATATATTCACCTCACAAGATCAGTCTAATTAAGTTTTCATATTCATCTTTCTTTTTTATTTCAATGGTGGCAAAAGATCCAAGTAGCCGACCTAGGATTCTACAGCTTTGTTGTTGTTGTTATTGTTATTGATCATCTTTCTTCTCTTTTCTGTGTTCTTTATTCTTGTCTGGATATACAAACATTAATGGCAGAGGATAAGAATCCATTCTAAAGAGATCGTGGCTCACTGCAACGAACTAAGAAGAGGTATATACAGGATTTTGCACTTTGCTTCACTTCCTAGTTGACAGTTATCTGATGTATCCATGATTGTCTGTTCTACACATGCATGAAGAATGAATTGATGTATCATTACATTTGTAGGTGTAGTAGATATGGCAGAATCTGATCAAGAATCTGATTCAGGCTTGGTATAGATCATTTCATACACTGATCTAAGGAGCCGATCTGATTACCTGATTTCTTTACCCAAGCATATATGGTTTCAGCACTTATTGGGACTGATATTTACCTATAAGATTAAAAGAAGTAAATTATTCTACCCAGATATCCCCATAATAAAACAGATTCCACTTATCCAATCCTTCCTCTTACTCAAATCTTTCTAATCATAGTTTGCTGCCATTGGCTAGAATAACTCTCACTCTTCACGTCTCACTCTTTCCCTGATCACATAGATATGATAACTCTGACAAGTGGCATTCAGATTCACCAAGCACAAGCATAAATTTGAGTACTACAACTCCAAGATAGAAAATTGAGAACAACATATTCTGGAAGTCACCAAGCAAAAGCATAAATTTGAGTTCTAGGTATCTGCTGTGGTCATCTCCTTTGTCAATATCCCAATGAAAAAAAACTACAAGGAAAACAATAACAAACCAGGATCCATTTCTCTCACTCCTCTCTATTTCACCTTGGTCACCTAATTTGTTACAGACCTCGCCATGTCAAATGCAACCACCTCAATGCTGATCTCACAAATGTGTTTGTTTAGAAGCATCAAAATAGATATATTTTGAGAGAGACACCCATCTAACAGTCTTCTGATCTCCCAGCAGAGTGAATTTCCTCGTCACACGAATGTGCTCCAAAATTGTTGAACTCATTTGACTTGAAGATCCAGTTAACAATGGAGTTGGATATGGATCAACTTTTAGCCAAATCATTGATTTTCCCAATTGCTACAAGTCTGATACTTGGATCAGGCTGTGATCAATTCTGACTCAATCTGAACCTGACCAATTTACATGCCAAGTACCATATTGACATTTGTAAGTAATCTATGGCTGGATGGGCAATCCTAAAAGGAGAATATTTTTACAATATTTTACTTATTCATCTTAGCAATTTTGTTAAAAAATGCCTAAAAGTGAGTTACTAGATTTTTTTTTTCTAGTGAGTGATGCAAATGTTTTTGTTTCAAGGGATCACATTTATTGTGAAATAAATAATCTAAATAATAACATCCCAATGACGACAAGAAGCCATAATTCCCAACAATACGGAGTCGGCTCGATGAATCTTCTCCAACCATTTAACTCTGTCGATGACAATATGATTCAAAGAATACAATTTCACTTGAACCATTTTGTACCAGCCGATGTTTACCGTTCTGGTGTGAACTTGGGTGTGGACCTTTCAAAAACCAGTCCGGGCATGAACTGGACCGCCCCTTTTCAGGTGGTCCTGTCTGATTTATATTTTGTTCAAAAAACTCTATGTCTTCATTTCCTCGAGTCACAAACATGCAACTTGAGAGCAGCCTGCCCACCGCACACTGCCACCACCAGACCAGTACTTCTTCCTCCTACTCAATCTGCTGTTCCGCCTCCTCTTCTTCCTCCTCGTCCTCCTTTCTTCCTTGTTCCTCTTCTTCTTCTTCTTTCTCTTCCTCCTCACCCTCCAACCAACATGGTACCATGGTACATGCACACATACTCTGTGCCAATACGCCAGCATGGATCAAACCTGAATTGGTTTGGCATGGATCAGAATGGATCTGGTACTGAAATTGCATTCCTTGATATGATTAGTCAAGCTATACAAACTATTAAATCCCTTCTTGTTGTTCATCCTTTGTCTGACTTCAAAATGAGATGAATCAGTTCACCTTGCTTAAACAATGCATTTGTAGTTCTTTTAAACAGATTAAAACATTTAAACAATTTTCAGCAAAATTGGAGGCTACAGTCCTATGCCAGCATTAATTGCATCAAAATAATGGCACAACAGTACTATGAAATGCAATGATGTGGCAAGAAAAAATTGGTAGAGAAAATGATGTAATAATGCTGAAGATATGCAGCAAACTTGATGGACAACCCTGAACCCCTTTTTGCGTTTAAACAGCCAGAGCTGATTCAACAACCATGTTAGTTCTAAACCATCTAAGCTGGTTTAGAAAAGCTCATAGATTCCAAAAAGAGAAACTATGATAAAAGAATCAACTACGTCCACTACACCTGGCATAAGTTTACTGTAGAAGTAATCAGATTAGGTTAAGAAAGCCAGAAATCAACTTAGCTCTACTAATTTGATAGATTTAAACTCATTTAGTAAAATTTGAATCTATCAACCCAATCACCCTGCTAAGTGTTCTTAATGGATCAAGGAGATGCCATTCTAAACATTTAAATATGTCCATCAACTATTCTAAGGTTTGATGCTGAAACACTGCTTTATATAATTAAGGATCTTGCTGGTTCATTTATCTTCCTGATATATTTAGCCATTCACGTCAGAATTTAACTTGAGAATACCAAGCAATACTTTAGCAACCTAGCTACAAGTATACCAACCAAAAATCAGTAACATAATCAATGCACAAAGTGCCAAACTATACCCTCTCCAAACAAACATTAACCTAACTAATACAAGCATACAGCTAATTAAACATGTGTCAAAGGTCATGATAACAAATGCAAACATAAATGTTCATGCCATTTTAAGACAAGCAAGAATGAAAAGAGAGGTCACCCAGATTGATTAGTGGTAAAGTATGTCGGCTTCCCAAGCACTGGTGCTTCCTGTCATAAATAACCACATCATCATAAAAGAAAGAAAGTACATTTGCTCATATAAATATTTATATATTAAGAGTCTTACAAGAATAGAAGTACAGTAAGTAGTGGATTGGCATATCGAGTGTCATGTATGGTGTTCAACTAATTGTTATAGTACTATATTGTATAATCAATAATAACTATAGAGCTCCGAATTGCTCCATGGTTACAGTTTCATCCAAGCCTATTCCTACAAGATATGGTGCTAGCTAGGAAGTTCAAGTCCTACTCAAGGACACAAGGATGATTAGCTACGTAGCCATCGATGGTCTGTCTCCCTCTAAGGATGCAATATAAATGGTGCTAGCTACAAAGTTATAAGCCATAATAAAGAAGGATGATTAGCTATGTAGCCAATGCTTTGTCTACCCTATAAGGATTCAAAATGACTTGCTAAGGCCTGATAACAAACCTGGAAAACTACAAACAACAACAAACCATAATGTCCCAATAATTTGGGTTTGACTACATGGATTTTTTTCAGTCAATGAGTTGAAACATGTAGAGAAACACCACCATATAATATTCCACCAGCAGAATATATTCAAAAGGAAAGAGAGGAAAGAAGGTACTGACATAGGAAATTAAGGTATACACAGCACTTTGCCAGCAACCAACAGGCGGGACCAAACCCAGGTGGCACCGACCACAGCTGCCACTATCCTCAGTGGAATCCAGTCTCCAAGATGGCAACATGTTCAAGATATTGGACATCATCACATATAATTATAGTGTCATGAGTTGCACAATCTTCTTAGTTTGTCTTATTATTTTCGTATGGTTTTGCTTTCTTCATTTATTATTGGTGTATGTTATTTTCATTTTTCCATTTTTTTTCTTATTTGTTATTTTATACACACACACACACATATATCATCTATTTATTGGTGCTCCTTTGGACATCTCAAAACAATCTTAAAAGATACTCTCATTTATTCATGCTTGGAACTACCCCTAATAATTCATGTATGTATTTCTTTATCTACACTCATCATAAGTGGCCAAAAGGACTCTTCATAACCTTAGTTTTAAAACATTTTAGCATATATTGGAATATAAGAGCATCTGTAAACTTTTTTTTTTTTGAGGCCATGTGTAAGTATTCTAATATTTTTCCAAGCATGATTCATTTTACTGATCCGTACCGATATACCAATCGGTCATTGGTACGATACATACCAACATATAGTATGGTAAGGTGTATCGACAAAATAGAATGTACCACCCATACCGGTCCCCTACCTATCGGATAGGTACATATGGCAAACCTTGCTTCTAGGTACTGTTTTTATGTGAAAATTGATTAAGCTCTTCTTTGGTTATGCAAAATAAAGTCTTAAGCATAAAATTTGCTTTGTAAGCCACAACATCAATGACAAAGCAGAAAAAAAATCCTTCATTTGATTGTGGTAATTTAACAGAAAATGGAAACAAAGGAAAACAAAATTAGGTCTAATTAGAAAAAAAAATATCCAATGATGACATAAAGCAGGAAACGAGCTTTCTGTGTTAGCGCCTGAAGAAAGAAAGACATCAAAGGGATTGAAACGAGCATGATGGGAAAGATAACCATTACAATAAACTCCTAACACTCAAAAGATCAATTAACTTTTGTCAACTAATAACAAGAACTGTGGCAAATACAAGTTAGACACAAGCAAGGTTTAAAACACTGCCTGTACTGATAAACATGGGCTAGTTTTTAGCAGTCTGATAGCCAACCAGGACAAGATCGGGCAATTTTGCCCTGTTTGGTAAAGCATGAGATGTATCATGTGGTAAGTTCACAGTATTGAACTTAGATGTGGCAAGCAGACTAGTACCGGGCATTAGTAACACTCTTTTTTTTTCACTCTTTCCCTTTTTCCTCCCCCTGAACTGCAGCAAATAAAAGTTAGACACAAGCAAGGCTTCAAATACTGCCTGTACTGATAAACATGGGCTAGTTTTTAGCAGTCCAATAGCCAACCAGGAAAAGATTGGGTAATTTTGCCCTGTTTGGTGCAGTACGAGATGTATTATGCAGTAAGTATTGAACTTAGATGTGTCAAGAAGACTAGTACCAGGCATTAGTAATACCCTTTTTCTTTTTTCACTCTTTCCCTTTTTCCTCTGCCTCCTCAGCTGTTTGTCCATCTCTGTTTTTCTATCACTCTAACTTCCCCCTATCACTTCCTGCCTACTCGTTGCCTCTGGCCCTCACCCTACCCCCACCCCAGCCACCCCTCATCTTCTTCCACCTCCCCTCTTTGGGCCAGAACCGCAACAATGTGGGGGAATACCATCCAAGGACTGATGTCAGTACCAGATCAAGATTTGAAACATTCAAGTTTATACAATACCAAAGTTGTAGGAGAATTCCGAATCAGGATACCTCATATTCTTCGAACTCATGACCTTCAACCAAAACAACACTAGGAATACAGTTAGGAGGTGGACGAAGCAGCTGTTGAGCCTCTTCCCATGTTACTTTCAATTCCATGGAATCCTCATTTTCAATCCGTAGACGTTTACTCTTGGAACCAAGATTGCCACCTTTCCTTCTACTACCCTGTGAGGATCTAGCATTGAGCCCATCCTTTTGTAACAGGCCTTCATTTGCTAACTTAGTGCAGTTCCACTGCTCTGCTGTATTGATCAAGTTTCTTGGTTCTGGATTGCCCTTAAAATCTTTAGCAGTGCCTTTGTTGTCACCCTCTGGAGGTGTTGAGAAACCGTTGCCAGATTTAAGTGTTTGAGAGTCCTGTCAATAAATGAGAACAAAAATTATGATCATTGAATAAGTGGAACATAAGATTCAATTTAAAGTAGCTCACAGTTGAAACATTCTTGCACCTCATCTTTCACCAAAACTAATCACCAAAAATTATTTATTACTCATTTCCATATTCAGCAACTTACACATATGGACTTATCATGATTCTAGTAGTTAGAAAATTATTGAGACCACCAAGTATAGACAGTAATTATTATTTATAATTTATATAATAGGTATACTAAATCTAAATCTCAAATTAGCAGCTGGAAATTACAAGCAAGAGAGTTTCAGACTCCAAGAGCAAACTCATTTAAACTTGGAATGTTAGATAAACACATAAACACACAGGACAAACTCTTCAGGCATCTCTAGATTAAACAAGCTTCAAAGGAAGGAAAAATCTTTCTAAAGCTCCATATTCTTTTGACAAGTATACAACACAAAATCTTCACCAACAAACCTGTTCGTTGGAGACACTAGAAGCCTTTCTGAATCCCATAATTAACTTCCCTTCTGGATCTATCCGGCTAAATGTTACTGCAGAGGCACATTATAATTTTAGATCTGCAGATAAAAGGCATTCCTGTCTTACACTAAAATCAAAGTAATGGAAAGATATGTTCAGGTTTAAGGCCCAATGCAATCGTGTTATATGTTATTGAATTACAAAAAATGTGTAATGCAGCAAAAGAAAGTAACATATACATAAGCACATGTAATTATTTCATGTACATGTATAAATGCATATACAAGTAAATATATGCATGCACATATAATCATACACAAGCATATATGAACATACATATTAATGTACATGCATAAATTAATTTACATGCATATACCATAACCATCCTTAAGCAACTTAATACGGAAAGTTTGACGGATTCAAGAAAAAAGTATCACCTATTAATAAAAATAAATCAAAACTCTTGAGAGTACAAATTAGTTAACCCGAACTCTTTCCCTAAATATCTCATATCATGATCATGACATGTGATTTTTCAAGAACTGCCAGAGTTTGTCATTGACATGATAGTTAACTATGCATGTTATAATTCCATGCAAACTCAGGATATCCTGTAACCCAAAACTACTAGTTAACCGACCCCAGTCAAAATAAATAAATAAAGAGCTGATAAGAACATTATATGGGCACGCAAGGCTAAGTCTTTTGGGAGTACAGAATACAGATATCCAAGAAAGAATCTAGTTCGAGAAAATAGAACTACAGGATACTTGCAGAAGCAAGGTAAGGTAGTGTACACGTGGTCTCAGTTGAAGGGCACCGAAGAGCCATGACACTTGATTCAAGTCTAAAAACATACCTGTGTCACCTGCTTGCAATTGCATTGCCTGAATACAAGGTGTTACCCCCTCCAAAACATACATCCTGCTGTTATTATTAGGCCAAAAACGAAATTGGAACACCCAGTCCTTGCCATTTGCATCCTGAACTTTTAAAGGAAGTCCTTCAGGTTGAGAAATTGTAGGAAAGTAGGCCTGTTTTTACAACCAGCCATTTGTATTACTAAAAGCAACTCAGAGAATTTAATCACCCATTATGATATAATGATACATATACATAATTGAAAAGAAGTAACTGTGGAAGAGTTCAAATCTGCTATCTACAATTAAACATATTCAATGTTTTATCCTTTGAGACAAAGCGCCAGCATATAAAAAACCATTAAGCCAGATATTCAAAAGCAAATCAAGACGACTGCTGTAATGTTGATCGACTAGCAAAGAAGTGAACAAAAATAATGCATAACTGCTTAGAGTTCAAACAGAGAATCAGCAAGTTTAGCTGGAAAGTACAGCCAGAGAATATGAAATTACAGAACAGCCATAACTGCACAAACAAGGTGACTGCTGTCATGCTACAAAATCCATATTCCACATATGTAATAAAAGATGAGTGGCTTCCAATTGCTCCAACTATATTAAGTTACCCTACTGAGATATTGTCAAGTTTATTTTTAAACCAGTGCATTATTTTAAACAATGCTGTAAAGTAGCCATGTGCTCCTAGTTCCCTGCATTATAAAATGCAGTGTCTGCCGTACCGAAGCATACCGGCCGTACCGGGCGGTACGTACCGGTCGGCCAGGTACTCGGTACGCGGACCATCCTGTACCGCTACAGTGCTACAGCACTGCTACAGTATCGGTACGCCCTGGTGTACCGCCCGATGCACCGGTACCGTACCGTACCGAGCCCGGGTCGAAACTCCGGTACGGTACGGTATGACGGACCTTGATAAAATGAACCTTCAGCATTTTGTGTTACTCCCAAATGTTGGCCAATGTACCTTTTCAAAAAATTGCAAAGAAAAATTGATTAAATAAATGTGTATATATGTTTACCAAAATTAAGTAGAAATACAACATAACCCAAGTGTCATATGGGCAATTAACTAGGAATTAGAAAATGTACTATAGCCATAACATCCTAGTGAAACTTCAACTTTGTTGCCGCAGTGCTCAAACATGAAAACAGTCACAAAATGATTATAACTCCCGGTACAGGAAATCTGGATGACTTACCTCAGCACATTTTTTTGGCAGCACGAGACGTCCAATCCGACCAGCATCACTAGCACTCAACATCTTTTCAAACAATGGAGTAATCACAGAGTTTGAACTTATAATATGTCAAGCAAAACCTAAGTGAGACCGATATCATCATAAATTAACCATAACTAATCTTCATATGCATTGAGAATCTTCTTTTAAGTTTTAACATAGTAAAAACTAAAAAGAACATACAAAAACAGGAGCAGAGTTATTATGATGAAAATGAAAGGATACTCTCCTGATATTTGTTGTAGCTCTTTATCGGTTATTCTAGGCCAATATCGAGGAAGTAACTGGGACCGTGCTCGGTTATCTACTCGAGATTTTCCATTGCGTATATGAGTTTGTAATTCAGCATCCATCATGCTTTGAGGGTAGAATTGCTTTGACAGAGGATAACCTGCTTGACCTTGTGATTGGTTTGAATATCTACTTGGCTCCTTCAGATCATTTGCCGATTGAAAAGGAGCAGCCAATCCAAGAGGTGAAGTATCTTCCTTTATTGCAGATGATGTTGCTGGCTTCACACATGAATTTAGATGTGCATCAAGGTTAGCTCCAGAAGCACTGGTGGAACAAGGGTCTCCATTCACTGCTTTCCTTGTAGAGACAGAATCATTTTCTCCAACAAGGCGGCAAGAATCTTGCACTCCATCAGCATTGTCTTCTCCATGGAACATACCAAAAGTAGAAGCTGCATCAATACCTATTTTACCATTGACATATCTTTCTCTTGCGACATTGCTAGTAATTGGTCTCTCAGAGAGGTTTTCGAATTTCTTTTCATGCGCTAAAATAGAATGACGGCCACCAGGAGTAAGTTTCTCAATGCAATTAGGTCTGTCAAATTCATATGACAACCGCTGTTGCAAGTCTGATTGTGCACTTGTCATGTTCCACATATGTGGTGATTGACGCCACTGTCCAAAAAATGGACCATTCAATGGTTTCCAGCTTTTAGCAGGAAATTCCTTCCTCTCGGATACTTGTTGGGACATAAGCATAGGAGAAGATAACATCTGATTTGGTGCCTGAGGAAACGTCAGCACATATTAAGGTATCAAGAAAGAGATAAATGCATAAATAAGACTGAGGTGCTCTGCTTTTAAGTATAAAATTAAGCACATAATATCATAAATATATAATGGAATATAAATAATGACAAAAAGGCCCCAACAGAAGGCAACAGCAATGAGGATGACATGGACAGTCTTGAGCCTAGAAAATGACCTAAATAAATTATTACCAATGAAGAATTTGGTTCCAAACAAGAATCAAGAAATTTCTTTTCACCTGGACCAATGCGTACTAACCAATATTCAAGGTTCTGAATACCATACCATACCAATATACCGATCAGCTATCGGTACGATACGTACCGAACTATATAAGTGTACCGCCTATACCAGTCCTCTATCGGATCAGTACGTACCGCCCATACCGAGCGGTACGGTATGATATTGCATATCATGCCAATATTCACCGATTTGATCCATGGACCTAACCCAATTCTGCCCGTTCAGTGCAGCCATAAAAAACTAAAAAAAGGCATGCCTCCTCCTTGCGATCCAGCCCAAATCGCGAGAACAAACCTTGACGCATGCTGCCTCCCCCCCATCGTCCACTGCTGTCACCGACCAAGTACGCTCCACTTCTACTACTTTTCCTCCACTACCTCATCCCTCCTCTTCCTCCAGTGGATCCTTTCCTTCTTCGTCTTCCTCCTTCCTCTTCCTCCACCACCTACTCTTCCTTTATTGTCTCCTCTCCTTCCTTCCTCCACTATCTCCTCTTTTACTGTCCTCTTCCTCCACCATTTCCCCTTCTTCCTTCCTCTTCGCCCACCTCCTTTCTCTTCCTCATTCTTCCTCTGTCGTCTCCTCTTCTTCCTTCCCCTTCTCCTTCTTCTTCCACTTTAGTATGTACCAAATGTCAAGACATTGATACCAGAGGTACATAACGGTCCAGCCTAGGATCGGATACTAAATTGCGGCTCTTGATACCGTAGGTAATATGACCATATTTTTTGCTTTTGTACCTGTATATCCAAAAAAAAGTAAATAGAATAATCCTTGACCAAAGTTAACTTTTTAAATCTAACAATTAATAGAAAAAAAAAAGGCAGACCAAACCAAAAACAGAATGATCATATTATTATAAATATGCTCCAACCAAAGAGGTAATTGAACAATCTTTAAATGTCAACGATTCAACATTATAAATTTTAGAAAAATAACTACGATCTTAAAATTAAAATTATTATGGTTATGACTTGTCATGAAGATGTACAACCAATTATCTGTGACCTTAGGTATTTTAGTCACTGTAATTTGTACAAAAATACAAAAATTAAATAGGGTGAGCTATAAAAAATACATGAATCAGAAGAGGATGAATTTTTTTCTGCTCACCGTGACAAGAGATTTCCTAGCACATGCAACACAATCGACTCCACCAGCATCAACAAACACGTAGGTAGGAGCTGAAACGATACACCCACAATGCACCCGCTGAAAAAAAAAATGCTGAATCAGAAATTTTGCCAAATAGAGTAACAAAAACACCGATCTTCTGAAATCATCATTCTAAAGTTAATCCAACCATGACCAATTAATAAGAGAAACTAATGAACAATTTAAATTCTAACCTTGCCACATGTTTCGCAGTTCCTCCAACCCCCATCATCAGAGTGAAACGTTTCGCAGAAATTACCTTGCTCGAACATGCAGCTAAATGAAAACCAATAGACTTAGAGAATATAAATGGAAAATTCAAAAGTTTTATACCGACGTGCCCAAAATCACCGTTGGTGAGAAACTCAAATCTATCTGAACTCGCTTCAAATTGTGGATCAAAAGGTCCAATAGAAAAATGAAAGCTAAAATGATTGCAAGTTTTGGCGTAAGGTTTTGGCAAATAAGCACCGTCGGCCACCACTGGAACTACAAGGTAAAATCAACGAGCAATTTCCACTAAAAACAATCAAAATTTGAGTTCTAACATCCAAAGAAGAAGGAAAACAATGAAGAAGCCACCGCCTTTCAGTAGGCTCGTTCGACGCACCAGCATGGGGAACCAAACCAAAATCGAAACCATACGGCAGAAAACAAACCGCCAGATCCAAATATAGAAACACTCCGACGCGTAAAGAGACGAGGGGAAGCATCAGGAAAGTGAAGCACCCGATGGGTGGGGTAAAGAGGGGCATACGAGCATCGGTCGCAGAGCTCGGCGATCTCGCCGGAGCGTAGGCGCCACCCCTTCCTCCTGGTGGGCGGGGTGTCAGGAAACGGCTCCTTGCACTGGGAGTTGAAGCAGATCTTGGCGGTGGTAGCCGCCGCCGACGAAGGCGAAGACATGACGACTACAAGAAAAGCAGAGATCAAATCGAAGTAGCCCTAGAAGAGAGAAAGAGAGAGGGAGAGAGAGCTGGCAGGAGGCAAGAAGTTTCGATTTGGAACCATAAAAACAGAAAGAGGGAAGAGGAAAGGGGGAGGGAGGGTTTGGGAGAAGGGATCGAAGGAGGAGAAGAAGGGATGAGGGGAGGCGACGAAGGAAGAATAAAAGGTCGGCGTCTCTTTAATGCGTATATATATATAGAGAGAGAGAGAGAAAGAGAGTGAGTGTGTGGGTATATGTTTGAGATGTGGCAGGGGGGTGGGGGTTGGGTTGTCATTGTGTCGTGTGTCTCGACGTCGCCTCAAGCGTTATTCCACTCTAACCACTGCCACGACAACGCTTGTTGCGAGACATTTCTTCGTATCGTCCGACCTGAGCCTGGGGAAGCGATGTGTGTGTGGGTATATGGCTGGCTCGATGCGTGTTCCCATTTTTCGATTTTCCTATTATTTCTTAATATTGTGTTCCTATTTTTCGATTTTCCATGATGAAAAGAAAAACTATTATTTCTTAATTTTTGTGTTCCTATTTTTCGATTTTCCATGATAAAAAAGAAAAAACTATTATTTCTTAATTTTGCGACGGAGAAAGAGATGGTTTTGACAACTGCACCCCCCAAATCATCAAAACTCGGTCATACACTTTTTTTATTTTATTTTTTTCCATCAGTGTCAGTGGTATAGACTTGAGTTTTTAACAATACTAATCGCTCAAATACCGGCCTTTATCGCTCGCACACAGGAGAAGAAGAAAGGAGATAAAATTAGGTTTTTGGCAGAATAATTAAGACAGGCAAGCATAGATTACGTTGTTGTCACCGGTGAGCGATGCGAAACGGAGACCGAGTGGGATGGGTTCTTCGAGTTGCTCGTAGAATATGTACGTGACGACGACGGTCACGGACGCCGTCTCCGTGCTTTCGCGGGACCAAAACACCCCTCACGAGCCTTGACGATTCTAGAAGATATGAGATGAGGTAAATTAGACAACTAATTTTATTTTCATTTTTCCTAAATTTTAGCTCTGGGAAGACAGGGATAAACAAATGAACAAGCATAATAAGGAGAGAGAGAGAGAGAGAGAGAAGGGGTAAGTTTATTATTATTATTATTATTATTATTATTATATATTTATATATATATATAGTTTTTGCATTAGTCACGCTGGACGGTGAGGTCACGAGTAACGCCTCCCCACTCACGCCTTACACGCGCCTCGTGCGGGATCCCATGTCTGTATCCTTTCACGAATGACATTTACCTGCAAATGGGAGGACGACGCCATGCAGCGACTCCGAAACGACATCACGCTCGGGATCTAATAAAAAGGTCAACACTCCGTAACATGCAGAGACAAAGGAGGGAAGGAATCAACTTGCATGTGTGTTTGAATCTGAGGATTCAAACGTCAGATTCCTTGTGATCAGTTAATTATCCACCGTGTTCGTAACAGCCGACTCCGGAACATAATAAAAGTATGCCTCCATAATTTTGGAGCTAGTGGAAGATTACTAAGATGCGGTCGTCACACACAGAATCAGCTGAGTTCGGCTGGTCTACCTACCCCACCCATTCATTAACATTGTTAACGTAATGACCGACGTGGCATGAAGCCAGGTGTTTTCAAATCAACAACTCAGCCAGCAGCCATTCTATGCATCATGTCTGCATGCTTGTTAACTAGCCAGTCAGCCAGCCCTACGTAAACATGACGTAGAAAAGTTCCAAATATTCAAATTCAGCGTAAGCCGACCGACGTCATAAGCATTATCAGAATGGAATCGAGATTGCTCGCCATAATGTATTTATGTTTTCATGCAGCATCAAGACACAGGGATTTTTATATATGATTTTTATATAATATTTACAATGAAAAGAAAAGATAAATATTTATCCGAGTCTAAGATAAATGATTATAAGTTATCTCCCTTTTATCGTCTACTAAGATAAAAGAACAATAGACGGTTAGAAATTGTATCCCCGAATATTTTATAAAATATTTTATCATTTTACGATCATATATAAAAGATCATTTTCAACATAAAGAAATAAGGGAATCATTTTTTTTATCAGCATCCACACTTACCTACCTCAAGTTACTAACTTGGGGCATCAGAAAGATTTGGATGAGAAACCTCTCCCAATCTTGGTATTCACATAGGTGACATCTCTAGAAGTTCCATGTTTTTAGCTCGGAGGTATCTCAAACAATCCTACGCACATAGGTTCGGACTACATCCAGTTGACTATAACATCAAAGATTTCTTCCCGTAATATTTTTAGCGCTAAAAAGAGGCCTGATATTGCAGGAACGTTTGCTTGTTAATCATTCAAATAAACACTTAAAGCAAAAAGGTTTTACCTCTAACCCACAGTACTTTCACCTAAGGTAGACAATAACAACTTTTTCCATATATGAGTGCATCCACCTCGACCTAGATGTCGATGCGATACTAGCATCTATTAAAAAACTTAGGCCTCTCATCCCCAAGGACAACCTTAAGCTACCTACTTATTCTCACCGAGGTGTTCTCAAATCTAACTCTAAATGTAAACACTAACAAGATACAAGCAATTGCTCCCTTTTTTTTTTCCCTAATTAGCATAACAAGCGATACCACTAGCTTAGGCATGGTCATCGGCTCAATTGTTGTTGACCCCATCGAGATTTCCCAACTTAACGTGGTGTCGACATCCAAGGTCGAGAGAGGCTTGGGACCGACGCACCACCGTCGTCTTGGATAGCCAAGGTGAACAAACAACATCTCTTTTTCTTCTTCTAGACCACCCTCCCACCGAGTAACGAACCAATCGTTCTCCACCTCCAGCCACAATCAGCAGAATTCAGGCATATGCACCCAGAGGGAGCACAGAAACCAGCCGCTCCAGGATCCACTCCAAGTCCATGAAAGCAGAAATGGACCAAGAGGAAGAAGGGAAAGTCGCCCCCAAAGCTCAGCAACCTGAAGGGATTAGCCTCCACCGAGCGACGGAGCTCATCAATCTCTTGATATCCTGCTCCTACTCCGTCAGATCCTTCCTCGCAAAGTGGCAGCTGATCCGGGACAAGCTAGAACAAATACACTCTTCCTTGGCCGCTGCAGCAGAGGGCGACAACTCTGCAACAAATTCTGATCTCGTCGGATTACTACAAGCTATAAAATCGACTGCGAGTGAGACACAGGTGCTGGCCAATAGGTGTAACGATGAGTCCTACGGTGGTGGCAAGCTCCACCTGCGGAGTGATCTTGATGTGATAGCATCCAAGCTTCACATCCTCATGAGGCGCCTGGAAGAGATCTACGCATCCGGGATTCTGACGTCTTCACAAGCCATCGTCGTCTCGAGGCCAGGAGTTGGTGCGAGCTGGGAGGACATGCGGTTCTACGTGAAGGATCTCATCTCGAGGTTAAAGATTGGCGATTCGGAGATGAGGCTTCGGGCCTTGAGCGCCCTTAAGCAGGTGCTTTGCGACGACGACAAGTACGTGAGGATTTTGGTCGCCAAAGTAGCCCAAGGTGTTGCTCTACTAGTGAGCTTTCTCGAATCCCAGAGCGAAGGCGTTCAAGAGGAGGCAGCAGAGGCGATCTCAGTCATCTCAGGTTTTGATTCACACAAGGGAGCTCTTGTGATGGCTGGAGCTGTCGCGCCATTAATTCGGACACTGGAGATGGGAAGTGAATTGGCGAAGGAGAGAGCAGCTGGAGCTCTCAAGAAATTGACGGAGAATTCAGACAATGCATGGTCGGTTTCAGCTCAAGGAGGTGTCTCTACGCTTCTCAAAATCCGTGGTGATGCCAGCAGCAGCGGGGAGTTGATTCGGTCAGCTTGTGGCGTGCTGAAGAGCCTCAGCGGCGTCGAAGAGATCAGAAGGTTCATGGTGGAAGAAGGGGCAGTCTCCATCTTTGTGGAGCTCTCCAGATCAAAGGAAGAAGCTTCACAAATCCAAGCCATCGAATTCTTGACTATACTGGCCTGCGAGGACGCTGCCATCAAGCAGAAGGTGATGGTAGAAGGCGTGCTTGGGTCACTGGTTCCCCATTCCTCCAAGGCGAAAGAGGTCGCGCTCAGGGCCATCGAGAACCTATGCTTTTCATCTCCAAGTTCCATGAACTACTTCATGAGCTCCGGCTTCCTCGACTGTGTTCTTTACTTATTAAGGAGCGGCGAAATCTCGATTCAGGAGTCTGCGCTTAAAGCCGTCGCTCGCCTCTCTGGGTTATCCGAAGCGATCAAGAAGGCGATGGGAGACGCTGGCTTCATCCCTGAGCTCGTGAAATTACTGGAGGCCAGATCTTTCCAGGTCCGGGAGATGGCTGCTGAGACGCTATCCGGGATGATATCGATCCAAAGAAACCGGAGGCGATTCGTTCGAGAAGATGAAAACGTGGACCGGATCCTGCAGCTGCTCGATCCCGAAGAGAAGTCGGTGACAAAGAAGTTCTTGCTCACTGTCCTCGTGTCCTTGACCGATAGGAAGATGATGACTTCTGGGTACTCGAAACACTTGGAGAAACTCGCAGAGACGGAGGCAGCCGATGCTAAGAAGATCATCAAAAAGCTGTCTACCAGCAGATTTCGGAGTATGTTTACCGGAATCTGGTGCTCGTAGACGTCAACGACTGGCTGACCACCCATCTCTGAAGTAAAGACACTCATCTTTACTTCCTTCTCCTAGCTACTATGGAAGAAAGGTAACGACGTACAGGAGTCCCAAAAGTGCAAGCAAATTTACCAACATTAATTCTTTGTGTAGATATTTCGTTTCTGTAAGGGAATTAAGTGGTGTTACACATACTGCCGGAGGTGATCTCTGGACAAATGATCCACCGTGGTGCTTTAAACTCGCATGTGGCTATGTAATTGTCGCCGGTGATCTACTGGGATTCCGTTTGACATGCGTATCTCTCTCTCTTTTCTCTTTTCCCACGGCAGCCACATCTCTGTTTTAGCATCTATTCTCCACGAAGTTAGGGGCGTATGTGCGGCAGAAATTTGATGCTGCCAAACACTCGAGTGTCACCAAGGTCCACTCGCGTGTAGCATGTGGACTATACCATGATCTATCTGTGAAGCAGTGGTCAGGCTTATCGAACAACACCACGTAGCTTCTTCCAGGCAAGGTGATGGGCTTGTTAATTTTCTGCGGTCCTCCTCGCAAAAATCTGTGCTTCTTTTCTACCACCGTATGGTGGAGTCGCACGACAGAAACATATTTCTAAGTTGACACAACTAGTTGGATAGCTTGTAGCTAACTTTGTGCTTCTTCTCTACCGTATGTTCAAGTCCCACAACAGTAACATATTTCCAGGTCACCTTTTCAACATAGCTTCTACCTCGCAGGAGTTGGCTATCTGATTGTGATAGCCTGTTTCCCTTAACTTTCAAATACTCCCAAATTTCTCTGCCAACGACTATCATTATGGTAGACTCTGTCCCGAATGATTCTCCTCCTACGAGGCCGTCTTGGTAAAGCATTCCACCTCGAGAACAGTGACTTGAATCGCTGAAATCCTCTGCAGGAGAAGAGAATAAAGCATTCCACCTTAAGAACAGTGACTTGACGAGCAAAGTCACTGTCAACTTTTGCAGGAGCAGAGGGAAGTTGAGCTGCAGGTTCGGGCTTATTAGCTGCGATGGAGGTTTGAGTACAGGACGAGGAATCCTCCCCATCATCACGGGTTATTTCCGAGTGATATATTGATGAATGAGAGTGGCTTGCAGGACTGTGTCTGTGATATATACATACTTGAATTTAAATTAATTCAAGAAAAGATCATATTTCTTCTATTTCATTATTAATTATATATGTATCACAGAGACCGTAGACAACTCCACCCATCTACGTTAACATTTGACTTTATTCTCGATCCAAGTTATATATATATATATCTATCTATCTATCTTTAGTTTGCTAAAAACCCCTTTTTCGGTGGTCACCTCTACCATCATTTGCACTTTATCTTCGTGAAGAGAGAAATGAGAGGGAAAACTAAGAAATACTAAGGACCGAGAAATTAGAGAAACAAGGAGAGAGAAACTACTATATAGAGAAAAATCAAAGAAATATTTTGAGATAATATCATGAAAAACATAATTGACAAAGAGCATATTTGATCTTGACAATCACCAAAGCTGGAGATATCGAGATCAAAAAGATAATCAACAGAGATCATCATAACGTTAACAAAACGATAGAAAAATATTAAAAGATTGAAAGTTCGATCACCTTCCACAGAGAATATTTAAGGTATAAATTATTTTCATAAGTTTTTTTGGATATTATTAATTTTTATATTTGATAGAAAATATTACTGAAGATAGAAACTATAGTTGTTCTTATAGTCCTATCATCCATTATTTCATTAGAATTAACCCGAATTGATTAAGATTTTTACCCACTCCAAATTTTATCTTTATGCAGGGCAGATAGATAGCATAGGGTGAGTTCCACTATTCAAAGCAAAGCAAGAAACTGTAGATGTCTCTATTATTGCATATGGTCACTCTAACTTCGTTTTGCATGATTATTTCTTTTTTTTTTAGTGAATCATTGTGCGTTTGCACACAAGCATACTTTTTTTTTTATGTCTTTTCGGTGATTTGCAAGTGGCCCATTCTATCTGACGTGGAGAGGGGAAATATATATCAACATATTGGTAAATGAATGAATGTAGGTTGTGTTACTATAATAATGTTTCTAGGCACACGTGTATAAGAATTTGGTAAATTCTTTGTTTGTTATTGATAAATCAAATTTTGATTGTCAGATACATGTAAGGATTTAAATCTAATCAGGGGTCACTTTTACACTTGTCACTATTATTATGATCATAAATGCACTAAGAGATGGGGGGACATCAATTGATTTTATCATCAAAATTCGAGATGGGAGGAGGAAGATTTTATCATCAAAATCCTCATGACTGTTGAGTCAAGGTAGAGGTTAATGTTAAGAATGATTGTGTTGATTGTTTAATTATCATTGAGGCATAGGATTATGCACTAAAACATCGGTCATTGCAGTTACAAAGTAATAATTTATATCGAGGGACACCAACTATTGTTTCGATCAAATTGATTATCCTATTAATATCAAGTCATTGTCCTTGTAAGTCGAGGATTGACTAACACATTAGTCGATTGGGTGCGATGTATCATTAGAATGCCCACATATCAAATTTTTTGTTCACTTGTACCCTTAACATATTTTAATATATGGAAGGTGTTGGGACACGATATCAAAGAGTAGGTTGGTGATTTACATCCCTCGTTACATATCTACATATCTGCCTTGATTCAATAAGACTTGGCATGAGGTTTCATGGTGGAGTCGGTTGCATTATCATGAAGGGATCCTTTGTAATGAAATTTGATTGTACCATCATAATATAATACTTTATGGCCAAATTCGACCTAGTCGTGGTAGTAGCACTCTCTATAGCTGAATTCGATGGCATAATCATGGTAGGAGGCTTCATGACCAGATTTGATCATATCATCTTAGTAGAACACTTTGTGACCAAATTCGATTAAGTTAGTATGACACTTTATAGTCGGATTTGACCACATCACTATAGTAAGATATTTTATCGTTGGATTCGATCATATTATTGTACCATGAGCTTCATTATCATAATCGATCTCATCATCATAGCGGGATGCTTCATCACTAGATTTAGATGGATGAGGGACTATAGATACATGATAACTGAGGATAGATAAGTCCAAAGGATTGTATTCTCCTATATCGTCTATGGACTATGATGTAGTGGCCAAGTACGTCCGTAGTCGATGTGTCGAGTGAATTATTACAGAAATAATAATTCACTGAGCTGGAAGGAGTTTTGATAGGTATAACTCATAGCCAGCTCGATATTGGGCTTAGAGGATCACACACATATGGTAGGTGTTACGACTAGTAGAGATTCAAATATAAGATATCCGTTGAAGCCCTTATCTTATTAAATATCCATTAAGCTCGTGAATTATTGGATCTCATAGATGAGATCCAATAAGAGCTAATAAGAGATTATTGAATAAAGACCCACTAACCTAAAAAGCTCGAGTAATTAGATGGAGATACAATACCCAATAAGGTAGGATCCATTAGGGTTAAGTTGACATGAGACCTCTATAAATATGAGGGAACCAAAGGGCCATATGTTAGACCTTTTTGGTTGCCACCTCCTATTCTTCTCTTCCCTTTTCCTCCTCAACCAACAAGGGTGTGTGGAGATTTAGGCAATGATTTGAGGAGCATCTTTGCAGCCCCTACCATATGGATCACTGCTAGAGAGGAGGGCAGTTGACATCCTTCATCCTCTCCCACAAATCTACAGGATTTCAAGAATATACGATCTCCCTAGGTAACACAACTATCTCACACGTGGTTTTCTATTTCATGGGTTTTATGCACCAATCATCATATGACGATGAAATCTTTTTGTGAAAATATGAGATTTTTGTTTATATTTTTTCGCCGTGCATGTGATGTCGCTCATAGATTTCCCAACAAAAAGGATTTACTCTCGAGCCATGCACCTCGGCATGAAGAGCCGAGGTTGGCACCCAGGTCGACCCCATGCACTCCCTAGTTGTGCACTCAGTATGAAGACCCAAAGCTTGCTCCTCGGCCAAGCCTACTTGCTCTTAAGCCATGCACCTCAGCATGAAGAACCAAGGTTTGCACTTTAGGCGAGCTAACATGTTTTTTCGACAATAAGCAAAGAAGCCACCAAAAGAAATACACAAAAGGCGCACCTCAAATCCCCTATGAGAGATATATATTACACCTCTACAGTGGGGGAGAAAATGATAGAGGATATTTTGGCACCACCCAATTGACAGCCACCTCAGATCACACATGGTGCCACTCTAGTCAAAATAATGCGCACATCTCAAAGCAATGCAAAACAACATAGATCGATCTGGAAACGATCGCATTTTGAAGCGACGCAACCCAACTCAAAAGCGACGTCACTCGGTTTCGAAGCTGTGCACTACAAATCCACGCCATTCGGAATCAAGTGATGCTTGCCAGCGAGGATATAACCCCGCAACGCATGGGGTTGGAAGGATGGCTCTAGAACATACAAACCACTCGTCGAAAATATCAACAGACACCAGTAAGCATAGGGGGAGTCGACTCCCTACGAAAGATATAAAAACCACTCTCGAGGAGATGCCAGGAAACATGATTCACTATCTACAAAAACTAACTTATGTTTTGACATGGTATGTCGGAACTCCCATCTAAAGCCTTGACCTGTCGTGCAAGGACTCGGGACCTAAAGCCCCTCCGGAGTCGTCGGAGAACACCCTAGGAGACGACGACCATAACTCTTCGTCCCTTCTGCGAGAAGCTTTCCTTCTGAGTAACCACGCGAACAAACTTATACAATCGTGATCGAACCAAACCGTGTTTCTTCCGAAACCATGACATAAAGAATCACAACAATTACTATATAAGCAATAGTTAGAGGACCAATCGGTAACAAGCTACCAAGTTTAGCTTAAAGAACACGTAGGTTGGGTCCAACCAAATGCGACCATCGACTCGACTCCGCAGATATACATGGGAAAAGAAACCGTGTTCCGTGCGCCAACCACGAGAATGACGTGATCAATGATTGATAGGACTTCACTAGACCGGAAATCAAACCGAACCACGTTCGGCCCTCGCTATACATAACGGACGGACCGTTATTTGCCCCTTTTCCCCCTCCCAGAAGGGGCGCTGTTTTTCCCTCACCTTCTTCTACCCTTTCTCACATATTCGGAGTCCCTCGGTCGAGCTCCCACAACTCCATTGATGGCCACCAAAGTCTTTATCGTGTAAGCTTTTCAAAACCTTATTTTGTCTCTCCTTTGCTCTCTTCTGTCTTCCGCGTCCCTGCGGATACCATTTTTTGTTTCTGATTCTTCACTGTTGTTTGTTGTTTTCGTTTAAAAGTTGTGTTTTCCTTTTTTTCTGTAGCCTTTTTTTCTATCGATCTTTTCTTCAGACATGGATAAGGTTGGGATCTTTCGAATTTTCACGCAAGGATCTACGACCTAGAGCAATTCTTTTGGGGTGTACTTTACAGATAGTTTCAGTTTTGCTTCTTGCCCTTGTTCTGGCTTCGTTGGAATCCATCGTATTTGTCTGTTGATCACTTGTTCCCGTGAGAATTTTCCTTCAGGAGAACGCGATTCAAAATATACAGTTTGATGTCTTGTTCCTCTTGAAGTTAGTTTAAGTTAGAATGTTAGGAATTCCTTCGCGTTCGTTGTTGCAAATTGTTTCTGAAAGTAATTGGATTACTTTTCCTGGTCGTTTAGCTCTGTTCTCTTTTCGTTGCTGTGCATGTTTGAGCTCTTTTGTGCTAAGGAGGAGAGCTATTGTGTGCCTGCGACCCACCATTAGAGACGTTGAAAAAAGTAGAAGGCATAAAAAAATGAATCGAAAAATGATACCTTTATCTTAATCTTGGTACAATTTTAGTGTTTAGATCGGTTCCATGCACTATGAATCCCCATCAACATGGTGAACCAATTTTATTCCTGACTTAATGGAGGGCCTGCTCATTTTGGATCCTTCCATAATTGTGCTTGGCCTGATGCGGTTTTCTATCTGGCTTTGTACCAGGACAGCTCACCAGAATTTTCCCGTGCTTTATGCATTTTTAGAGACAAAGCTATCATATGCATAAGAACATCCTCTTAGCTACTGGTACTTGATATAATTATTGGATTGTTACTGTTCCAAAGTTTTGTATTCTTTCATGAATATCTAATCTTACGTTATAAATATATTGGACACTTTTCTATCAGTTTAAGCTCTTAATATTACCAGGTAAGCCAATCAAAATATTTATCATAGAGTGAAAGCAAGACATAAGTACGATTCTCACATCTATCACCTAATATTTAATTTAAAATATATGTGTAATATTCGCTTTTCATTTGATTTTGCACCATAAAATTGGAATTATTGGTAACTTAATCAAATTATTTATCATGGTATCAAAGCACATAACGAGTTTAATTCCTAGATCTGTCATTCTTTATTTCATTCTTTATTTAATTAGAAGTATTTATGTCATATACTTGGATTTACCTTCAGGTATCAAGCTAGCCTAGATCAACTTGCACATGAAAGGGGATCCTAAAGCTTATAAAAATATTAGGCTCCTTCCTATGAACTTAAGTTTTTAGGAATACTAATAACCTAATCAAAACATTTATCATCTAGAAACCTTTTTTTCTCTTTTCTGTTTGGGAATAAATAGTTGAAGCATCAAATATAGGCTTCTAGAGTATAAGTTTTTAATTTCTTATTATTAGATTATGCAATATCTACTTGTTTCAAGATTAAAGATCATCATATTTACTGTCACGAAACGTAGTTCTGTAAAAATAGTAGAAGTAATTCATTCTTTTACAAGTGAAATGGGAGGTCTCTTTTCATCTACTTTCAAATTACATTGACTTATTAGCAAGATAGTAGTTTTGCTGATTTATCTGTGTCCCCTCCATTACATGGTTAGCCATGTATGATAGTTCAAAATTGGGACCAACATGATGTGTAAGCCCTTAGCTAATTCATAGAATAGTACAAGACTAATTACTTGGTGTGGTTACAAATATGTAAGGGTTGCTAAAGCATGTTAAGGTATAAACAATTATGTCTCTTGATTTCTTTAAATAAGGTATAATATATATGTAGAAAGGCATTGTTTGCATTCTGTAACCCATGAACTTGAAAGTAGTTATTACTGTTAATGAACATCACAATTTTATGATGCTTGAACAGATACTACTCTATGTATGGCCATGTTGAGAGGTTAGCTGAAGAGATAAAAAAAGGTGCCTCATCTATTGAAGGAGTGGAAGCTAAAATGTGGCAGGTTTGTGCGACTGGATTCCATTAGAATCGATTTCAATTTAACAAATTATAAGGTTCCTTGATTGTGTTTGGCCTAGTTGCATTACGTTCGGACTATCATTGTAGATGTCAAAGTCTTCAATCAGTGCTGATTTGGACTTCTAAGAATGTCGATAGGTGTTTAGCAGAAGTACATGAATTTGTCTTTTAAGTTGTTAATTGCTGGTGTGATGGATTACGTGGACCTGAGAATAATGCACACTGTGATGCTTAAAAGTGATATTCTTATGTATGGTAACTTGATTAAGAACCATTAATCTTATTTCTTGGAAGTCACTTCTAGAACCAAAGCCAGATGATATTTTTGGAACCCTCTGGCAGATGCTTCTAATGCTGGTTGTCCACAGAACTAGTCACGTTTGACTTAGCTTACTAGATGGAAGGAAATGTTATCTCTGTGATAAGATATTTGCTTATACCAAAAAAAGCATCTCAGGAGCAATTCCATTCCCGGTCTTTGTTTCGGTCTGCTCTTTGACTGTGCCACATCCTTTTGAGAAAATTTTGGTTGCTTTGGTGCTTTCATCTGTTCCACTCCCCCATTGCTATCCATAGGATATGATACCACATTATATGATGCACTAAACCTGTATTGACACAGCAATTAGGAAGCTACATGGTTCACTGTTTACCCTGTTTGTCTTCCCTCCTTGTTGGTCTAAGAATCTTTCTAGTGTCAAATATCTACACATCTATTATTCTGAATTAGGTGATGGTACATTATTAAACTAAATGCTTTCTCAGTAAAGATCTGTGAAAATTTTGTGATTGGAGGTAAGAACAATATTTTACGAAAACACTTTTTCCATAGTCCATACACATTAGGAATGCTTGGCAAAACGAATCATCCATTAATTGCATGTCATTGATGTGGACTTACATCAACTGAGCAGGTACCTGAAATCCTCCCTGATGAAGTTCTTGTGAAAATGAGTGCACCTCCTAAAAGCGAAGTACCAATTATCACAGCAAACCAACTTGCTGAGGCAGATGGTGTTCTATTTGGATTTCCAACTAGATTTGGTATGATGGCTGCACAATTCAAAGCATTTCTTGATGCAACTGGAGGTCTTTGGAGATCTCAACAGCTTGCAGGCAAGCCTGCAGGAATCTTCTATAGCACTGGATCTCAAGGCGGTGGACAGGAGACTACTCCGTAAGATACTTCCTAGAAAAGAAGATTTTAATATTACTTATGTTGCATTCTCTTGAAACGTCCCTATTTACGCACAAGTCAGCTATCAGGATTATTAGTCTTTAGATTTCAGGTAGATGAATAAGATGTTGATTTCATGTTTTTCGGCTTCAATTATAATTCTTATGAATAAAATCTAGGTTGCATTCATAATTCTTAAATGTTATATTTCACAGTAAACCACCATTATGCTGTCAGTTCTATCATTTAAAATGTAAGATCTTTGGAACAGCATGGCTTCTTGCCTTTAGAGGTTACTTATATAGAATGCAATTTTGGATACACACCTGTCCGGTTGATGGCAGAACCAGTATGTTTCTCTGTATATATACATGTGTTGATACACAGTATGTCAGCATGTACCATGGTTCCATTCTGCTGGAGGATATGCGTAGAGGGGAAGGAATAACATGGAAGAAGGAAAATGAAGAAGAAAGGAAGAATGAAGAAGAAGAAAGAAGGAAGCATATGAAGAGCAAAGCAGAAGAAAGAAGGAAAAAGAAGGAAAGAGGAAGGAAGATGAGGAAAAAGAGGCAGTGGAGATAGAGAAAGAAGAGGTGTACTTGTTTAAAAAGAGGTGGGCAGCATGTTGATGATGATAAAGAGCAGGCAGCAAGCAGCGGTAGTCGGACGATGCATAGCAAGAGACGACTTCCGAGTCGTGAGGCTAAAGGCATCCAGGCCTTTAAAAAATAAAAAAACTTGTTTAGAAAAGAGAAAAGCAAATCACATTACCCAAAATGAGACAGTCCATGTCTCAGTTCATACGTGGATCGATAAATACCTGTAGATATATGGCCCGGTCTAGGCAAAATCAAGTTCATTGGTCATCATCCCATGACAATTTCCTGAACCAAGTCCAAATAACATGGATATACGACAAATTGTTATTAACAATTTTTTTAAAAATATCATGTTCGTTGGGTTATTCAGTGGCATATTTATGTTATTTGGCATCTTTAAGTAAGCTAAAGGCCATTCTTGTCTTCAGTTTTGTTCATTTAGGAGATTTTGTGATTAGAGTTAAAATCCACTACCCGAAGCTAGTGGAGTCGGTTTCTGTTAGCTTTATCATTGTACCCACATTTATATGATAAGCTTTGCTGCCATAGTCAGATTGAGGAAATAAGCTTGTCATCTATATACATGTCATTCTTTATCTTTAGATTCCAAAGCCTTCATAAAGAACTTAAACCACCATGCTACTTGCTGTCACCTTCTTTTTCTTTTTTACAGTTTGACTGCAATAACTCAGCTGGTTCACCATGGAATGATCTTTGTGCCCATTGGTTATACCTTTGGAGCTGGTATGTTTGAGATGGAGAAGGTGAAGGGAGGCAGCCCTTATGGTGCAGGCACTTATGCTGGGGATGGTACCAGAGTCCCATCTGAGCTTGAATTGGAGCAAGCTTTTCATCAGGGAAGATATTTTGCAGTAATGGCAAAGAAGCTTAAGACATCTGCTTGATCTCTGATGAACATAAATGTTCAAAAGGTCGACTTCAAAATATAAAACATATATGTACAGTCTTTGTCTTTGTTTTCTGCAATTTATCTCTGGTTGTTAATACTGCAAGGTTGTTTGATTCTTGTGCCCAGCGAGATATTATTTGTACCATTAGATCGATGGATCATGTCCTGTGAAGTTTTTCTTCTAATGGTAACCACCTATCTCTTGTTTCCTTCTGCTGACGGTCTACAATCTATTAGCTACATCAGTATTTGTTCTGTTAGTAGAGCTTATGAGCGTTATTTCACGAGATTATGACTCAGTTAAAGAGCAAGGAGGACTTTTTATTTCACTGTCATGATCATGTGCTAAAAATGATGAACCCGTCATGTAGAATCTGAAGCCAATGTTGGACCAACGCATCAAGACTCGTATTAAGATGGTGAGAAATCTTGAGGACGTGCCAAAACTACTTTTGACACGATCAGACGTCATCAGTGTATCTTATACATGTCATGAGGAATTTGAATGGATAAGATTTTGTGTTGTCAAGGTTTCCTCCAGAGTCCAACCCAAAAGCAGCAAACTGCGACCTGCAGGTTCTGAAACAGGCAGCCCTCATCATGCAGCTTGGTGTCTACTGACCATTCCCATCACTCTCCCACGCCCACATTGCCACAAACAAAAAACAAAAAGTTCACAGTGAATGTAACAGTCGAAGATGGCTACAAAAGGAAGAAGAAATTTAATGTGATGGCCCCCCACCAAAGCTGCGTCCGCTGTCCCATCAATCGGTTCACCTCCTCTGGTCCTTCCTCCCTCCCCTATGGGTTCCATCCCTCTTTCCGTTCTGCAGCCTATCCGCTCGACATGCGGCGATCTTTGCTCGCTGTCGGAAGTTGCTTCCAGGTGCAAAACCACCGCCACCACGCGATAGGGCCAGGGGACCAATGGATCACTCCTGCCATGCCGAAAGCTGTAGAGTGAAAGCTCGATGATCAAGAACTGGTGCCGGTTTTCCCCTAATGCTTACAACAGTTGATCCTGTTGTGCCATGAGTCCCAAGCTTCATCCAGTATCCACACGAGAGATGTCTCCTCTTCAACTCGGATATTCTATCACGCGTCCATTGAATATATCATCGTGAAGGGTGTCGTCCCTTGGGTCACTGCACTAGTTGTGGGGATACAGGACACCACCATCGATTGCCTCCGTCGACCGAGCAGGCCACGTCGATCGAGGGGCATGCATGCTACATGTCGGAGTTCCCATGCGTAGCAGTATGCATGCACATGCACGAAGAGGCTTGCCATGAATGTGATTTATATGCCCACGGAAGACATGCGGCGGTTCTGAATGTGCAACGATTAAGTTAAAAGATAGAGGATTAGATAGTGATCAAATCTTTACTAAAACGTGAAACAAGCCGTCCAGCTACTCTTGAATTGCTGCCACAGCTCGGAAGAAGCACAGAGGAAGTGGACAAGATAGATAGATAGATAGATAGATAGATAGATAGATACACAGCTCAGCTCGGCTCGGCTCATTAGAAAGAGTAGAAGAAGACCCTGCATGAGCAAGACATCTCATCGTTTCCTCACTGACGCCAAGTCAATGGTGATCCAAAAGCATGTTCTAGAACAGTATCCAAACAGAAACCACTGGTCCTCTCCCTGTTCCTCCCTTCCTACCTTCTACTATTATATTGCTAGATGCCACGACAGTAACACAGATATGGCAAAGCGAGACCAACAGTGCGTATGAATGAATGAATGAATGAATGTTCAACCCCAAGAGTACTCTCAGACACCAAATGTCATTCTGCGACTGGAGGAAGGATACTTTAATGGGTACTTGATGATGCTGGTTCTCCCGAGCGAGGAGGCCCTTCGCTTGGAGACAACCAAACCCACCTTTAATTTGCAACCCCTTCAACAATGACATCAGACGTTGCTTTGATCGGAGGAAACCCACGACGCCTTGGGACTGGAATCTAGGGATGGGGAGCCGATCGTTCAACGTATTTCCTTTCAAGTCTTCGTCATCTCCAAGATTGAAGGATCCACCTTGTCCTCCTCCATGCACCCACGATTAATGCTCCCTTTATCATCTCCAAGTGTTCCAAACACCTTCAAAATATGATCTTCCAATGCCTGTCATGCAAAGTGTTGCTAGTTGTCTCCTTCTGCCTACCAACCTTTGAATTTTGCGACTCACGATTTGACGATTGATATGGAGGGAGCTATACAGCGTCTATTTTTCTTTTTTTGGGCGTTTCAACGAGGGGACGGACGAGTATTTTCAGAATTTTAATATGATTTAAATTACTTTAAAATTAAAATTATCTGAAGAATGATTTCACGTATGAAAAGAAACCCTTGTGTACCTCATGATTTTGGTAAAAGAGATAGAAAGAAAAAACATTTCGAGTTGCTCTTTTTTTTTTTCTTTAATTGATATTAGAGATCCTAAGAGAGATTTAGTATAAGAGACTCCACACTTAAATTTGAGTTGATTCAAGAGAGACATATTATATTTATTTGGTTATTTTTTTTATACACAAGTGTTGAACCATATAAAATTTTTATTAATTATTTTCTTGTTTGTGCTTTTATCGTTGATCCTCTGTATTATTAGTAGTTCTTTTGGTATCCAAGACTTGTTTCCCCTCCCCTATCATGGATAAAGAAAGTTGCAACGAGCCCACAACGCAAGCGGTGAATTCATCATAAGAATAATCATGCAAACCTGAAACACAAAACATCAAAGGAATAAGATAAAATGATGAAGATGGAGAGAGGTAAATGCGATTCATGACTACGATGAACCGTGAAATTCAGATTAATCAACAGGTGCTGCTACTTCTTTTAGCTGAGTAATTAAGAAAAAAAAGAGACTGTATTGTCGGAAGGAACTGGCATTGGCAAGCGAGAATACACTCGCAAAGCGACAGCAAATAAGATGTGATAGAGAGGACAGACTCATTTCGATGGTCCAAGTGTGGATTCATGAAGAAGATTTATGTCAGTCCCTGTAGCATCAACAAGAGACTACTTTGGCGGGGTGAGATGTCAGATTTTGATACCTACTAAATTTGAACTTGATGAAAGCGGGAACAACAAGTGGGTTTAGATGTAAGATGTTGCATCTTGTGTCGTTGAAGCTTCTGTCTCGGCTGTCTTGTTCTTTGGTTACATCGATCCATGTTTCATGAAGATGCACTTGTGTAATTGTCACGATACTCGAGCAAGAAAGTTCTAAGAGGTTGGCAGAACAAGGTGTGGAACCATTCCGCGGGAAGATTCAGGTGGTATATATATGCCCATGCATGATGTCAAGCGCGAAGATGGCAACTAGCTAGCTAGTGCGAGTCGCTAATTAAATTCCATGCTTCCGAGCGAGGATAACAAACATGGGAAGTGAACAAGCCAGAGAGAGAGAGAGAGAGAGAGAGAGAGCGAAAGTAAACAATGGGACTTCCTTGCCACGGTGGGTCACGTCCGTCGGTTGCAAGCTTAATTAACCGGGAGTCCCAGTAGAGGTTGGAGTTAGAAATGAGAAGCTTCCGAGCTATAAGCTTCCCAACAATGTCATGTCTTCTTAGCTTTGTGTCTGCTATATATATTCCGGAGGACCTACGGTTTCTGTCCACTTCCACATCCGGTCGTTGTTTTGTTGTCATCCCTAGCGGACGGAATCACCCACCGTGAGATTCGCGTAGGACGTCTTTTGTCTCCGTGCTGCTTTATTCTACGCCATTGGAACATTAATTATGAGCTCTTCCGGTAAGACGCCAAAAGTTTCAGCCATCAAAACCGTACACACTACTGCGTTGCCGTCAGTCACAGCATGTTCGTCGATCGTCGGCGGAGCTGGAAGAGAAACCGATCGACATGAGGGTTGGGACTTTTTATGTTGTTCCAGATAGACCTAATTAACCATGAGTTGCCTGTACATCTTTCATACTTGTTCATCACCTATTTCTCTTTCCTCTCGTCGGAAGAGTTTGCCCGCGCGTAGGCAGTTGATTTAATGTCATTTATTGTCCGTATGGGAAGTTCAAGATTTTTAATATCCACAGGGCAGTAAAAAGAGCTGTACGACCAAATTAAAAAGACTGTGTTATGGTGACAAGCAGTAGCGTAAGAGGCAGAAATAATAATGGCTAATAAATGAAAGGGTGTCTCCGGACAAGATATGAACAATTCACGAAGGTCGTCGACTGTTTGGCGCTATTCAGAAGACCATGAAATCATGTAGGAACGACCGACTGCCATCTTAATTTCTGTGCGCACAACTTCTTAGATGGGATACATATCTCTCTCTCTCTTCGTAAGATCTGTGCGCACGCCTTCTTAGATGGGAGACATATCTTTCTCTCACTCTCTCTCTCTCTTCTTAATATCTGTGCGCACGCCTTCTTAGTTGGTATACATCTCTCTCTCTCTCTCTCTCTCTTAATGTCTGTGCGCACGCCTTCTTAGATGGTAAACATAGCTGTCTCTCTCTCCCTCTCCCCCCTCATGTATATATACAAAAAGATTGATAGATATCCAGATCATCGATCAATTCACTCTCTTTAGCGTTGTCGTCTACCGTGACATACATATTACCCGAACGTATAAATTAACTGTATGACGGTGATGCATTTCGCCAAAGCACCTGCTTGGGATATCATCATGCTGTAGTTATGGCTTCGTTGTCATTCAGGTCAACACCATCATTACATCTCCTTTTCTGAAAAGAATAAAAACACCATTCATTACGTCTCCTTGTCGAGAAATACCACTCGTTACAACTGGAGACATATGTTTTGTCGGTAATGTACAAACAGTCGTCGCTAGCTTCCTTCCGTAACCCCATTAACCTTAGCGCCTCTGCAACACCACCCTGTCGGAGGATGAACCAGGAAAAACCCGAGACAGGAGAATAATGCAACATTCTGTACAACGACGAGTCGACGAAAGCGGTGCCACTCGGTGGCCCTCCATGTCGCACGATCTGCCCGACACTAGTGTCCAAACAGTGAACAGATGGAGACGCCACAACCGCACCTACGCATCGCCATCGCAGAGAGGAGAGGAGAGGAGGGGAGGGGAGGTGAGGAAACCCTTTATGGAGCATTTGGACTCACCACCGATGACAGAATGGAAAATAACAAAAGTTAGCGGAGAAGATAACAGAGGCCGGAGCCACAGATGCCTGCCCGCCTACCTTGGTTTATGAAGGAAAGCCATGGAAAGGGACCTGCACAAGGATCCAGGGGAAACGGTGTGAAGCTTAATGCAGGGATCCATCACATCCATCCATATGTACATGCTGACCCCTGACTCGGACGAGAGGGGCGCCTCGGCGGCCCTGGGTTGACACGCCTGAGAAAGATCGGATCGGTGTCTCACCTTTTAGCCTCGCCAAGCCAATTGCTGGGGACTGCAGCAGCCATGGGAAGTAGACTGTGATGGCTACGCTGGAGAAGCATGCTGGGCCATGCTGATAACAGCAGCACAATAACCCACCCGACATGTCGTTGTACACGCGTTCGCAGGTGTGGATATATCGTTAGCGCACACGCTGCTGATGTACATATCCCGCCAAACTTGCAACTGTTGCCATGCAGATAGATTCATATTTGTGCTCGTTGGAGAGACACGTTATCCATCTTTGGTTGCTTGTTCGTTTGGACTATTGCCTTGATTCCCATTCCACATTGTAGTATATGACGGCAGAATTATGTCACGTCCCGTCCCCGATAGCACCACTTCACAGCGCAAACCATCCTTGATCCTACGCGTGAGTATACATAACAAGTGTATTATACATATAAAACTTAGATGTTGTAGCATCATCATCATAAAGCATATAGATATACCATGTTTCGCAGGAGGTTCCGAAGTAAAAGTGTCTTTCAAGCATTAATTCCCAGCTGCGAACTCGTTACACGTACAAGGAATGGCAATAGAAAAGTAGAAAGTAGGCTTGATTTCCAGGGTATAAAAACTAGGAATTTGACAGCCATCAATGGGACATGAGGACCGGTTTCCTATAGGTGACAGCAGACACTCGACAGCCCCCACGCATTAATCATTATTGTTTATATATAATGTTGAAGCACCGGGCCATGAGCAGCAGGGCCACCGCCATGGACGCACCATATCGACAGCACATGCTTAATTACTACTGGAAGAAGAAAAGAAGAGGGAATAGTTAATACGAATGTTAGACAGGACTAAGCTAGCTACTTCTGAGATCCCTTCTTCGGGGAACTCAATGATTATGGCGTTGTGATGTAATCTTTGTTAAGCAAGACAAAAGGCTAACATGAGTCTGCAGGCAACCAACAATACGCTACCTCTAGAACATACTAGTTAGACGATGATTGAGAGTTGCATTGATTACAATCCAACTTGAAGAAGTTTCCTGTGGGCTTGCTTGGTCAGACATGTATCAGAGAATCCTATTTGTTTCGCCTTGCGATGACCAACTTGCTTAACCATGCGTACGTATCTAGAGCCTTTTCACTGGACTTACCGCCCGGTCTTTACTTGGTTAGTATCCTGTACTGCGTGCGAGATGGCAACTGGTATTTTGGGAGTCTTGCAAATCTGCTCCTAACTGGAATATATATGTATGTATGTATGTATGTATGTATATATACATATATACATATATACATATATATACATATACATATACATATATATACACCACAAGTTTGCTTTCAAACGTATGATCATCGTAATAAAGTGTCATCCAGAGAAGAGGGAGAGCGTGTGTGTGCATGTAAAGGAGAGAGTTTCGTTTACATGTATATATATTCATGTAAATGATAGTGTTTTATTTTCTTAGAAAGAGAAAATGATAAAAAGAAAAAGATAACAATTCTCTCACTCTTGTTCCAGGCTTCCTTACATGGAACAGTAACGAGAGTGCAGATCCAGCTGATCCCCACAATCCTCACCATTCTTTTAATTAACTTGACTACCACGAGCTTTCGAGGTCAGTTCAAAAAGGAAATTAACGAGGCGGCACCTTCTTTTTCTCTGCGTTGGTGCACCCAACTCTCCCAAAAGTCGACTAATATTTAATGTGGTAGCGTTGTGGTGAGCGATTCTTTTCCTGCCTCTTTTTACCCCATGCAAATAAAATAAACAAACAAACAAAGAAAAATTATGTCTATTTCGTATCATAAATGGATGGGCTCACAGTGTTCGGGTTGACAAAATCGCTCCCAAAGTGATCCTCTCTCATTGACATGACGTGTAGGGCCTACGTGTATGCTGCTTCCATTACTTCAAGTCCGTCCATCGCAGATCACATCACCTCGGAGACAAATCTAAGCTAAAGGAATACGACTAATAGATGATAAACAAGGTTTACAAGTATCTCATCACACCACGTACACACGTTGCCGATCGATGCGTATCGAGGAAAACCCCGCCGCTTCTGCCCGACGTGTCGAACGAGTGTGCGCAAAGCTTGTGTTGACGACGCTGCGTTTACGACATCCATTAACTCGACGAGCCATGGAAAGGAAGGAATATCTCAGCCATGATCGTGATCAAGACACACAGATACGAAAGAGAGATCGACCTCAGGAATCATATCAACGACAAGATGCTAAACGTGTGGCCTATCGATCACTAGCATGACCGATGCATCCATCCCGCCTTGCTTTTTGATGCATCTTGCACGGTTTCAGTGTCGCATCGTTGCTATCTATCGCTCGCATCCGATTCGATTGGTCGCATTGGCAGCAAGACTCAAACAACTTTTGAGAGATGGATAGATAGATAGATAGATCCGTGGATAAAATAAAATGTACGTAACTTTAGTCCTCCTCCTATCTTTTCAATGATGTGAACTCAAAGCTTAGGAATGACCCTCCTTCGCTACATCCAAACACGCACTGTGTGCATCGGAGTAAAAATTTTCTCTCGGCGGGTGATGATGATAATGATGTCCAATCCCAACTATTATCTACTCTTTGTCTTTGCAAGTTTTAGGTACACCAGGAAGGCGGAAAAGGGGGGTTTCTTCTTCCCGCATGGAGTGGTATGTGACATCGCCTGTCATGTTGCCTGCAGCTCCAAGTCCGAATGTGAAATGATCAGCTTAGTTCGTCAACACACTTTTTTCTCCACATCCAAGAAAGTTAATTCACCAGCTACATCCATAAAGCCGATGCATCATGGGATTCCTCCCCAGGCGAAACGATCAGCTTAGCTCTCGAGCTGGCCTCTAATTAGTGCATGGTGACAAATGAATAGATCACGCGATCCAGTACATGTCGAGCGTACGATAAATAAATAAAGCAAGGGTGGAGACTCCAACGCATCCATCCATCCATCTATCGCACGGCACAACACAAAAAGGGTTCACGCACGAGGATTCCTATCGACCTTGCCTTTCCAAGACACCACCATCCCAGCAGCCATGGAGTATAAAGCTCGTGCAAGCAATTCGCTCTCCTTTTCTTGCCGATACGCACTTCCACGATGTAGCTGCTGCATACGAGTACATATGTACTCGGGCATGATTCGTAGGCAAAACCTCCTACTGCGTGCGTACGTATTTATGTGACATTTGTTGTAATGCAATGATTCGTTTTCGTATTTTATTGTTACTGCAATTTGTTTCGAATACATGTTTTGGTGACTAGGAAATACGGAAGAGTCCATCAATTAATCGTATGCAATGTCATGTTGATCTGCCACAACATTGCTTCGATCAAGTTTGATTAATGGTTCGTCCCTAATGCGTGGGTGCATGATGACTATTACTACTACTACTACTACTACTACATGCCCCTTGGCACCATCTGCTGGCAAATTAATGCAGCAATTATGATGTTTTTTTTTGGATACCAAATCCGACGAAAGAAAAATGTCTTCCTAGCCATCCATCCTTGTCTGGTGTTGCCACTCGCCACCAAGAACCTGGCCCGATCTTGTCCCTCATGATTCCTCTCGATTCTGCTTGGGATTACAGAAGATCTTCGAGTGAGTATATATATGTATATATATACACAACACACATACGAACGAAATACATATATCTCTCGAAATAAAATAAATAAATGACTTGGTAAAACCTAATCGTGCTAATGGATAAAAAATCCTACCACAGCAGACATGTAAAGCTAGTCGATGAAATTTAATTATCGTTTAAATTCTGGCATCGCTTAAATTTCGTCACTCGAAATGCATGGATGGAAAAAAAAAAGTAAGCGAGGGATGGATGGATGATGAGACCCAAAAAGTAATCATCGAAGCAAAGGTCTTGGACTGACCAAATATGTGATCATTCCAAATGTATGAAGTGCGCGAATAATACATGAAGCTTATACACGAAGAATACATGGGGTTTACGTGAGGTTGCCAATTTACGGTGATAAGGATGAAAAGAAGAGCTTATTATATAGCTACATAAAAAGGTATTCCTTTCGCTTCGACTGTTTGATTTGAAACATGAGTGAGCCACAACTATTCCTCTCTATAAATACTTCGTCACGATCCTCCCCCCCTCCCGCACACATCGACAAACTTGAGTCTTCTTCTTCTCTCTCATCCTCTCCCTCCCCCACAGCCTCTCTACTCTCATTATTTCTCTGCAAACCCCATCTCCGTTGCTGCCAGCCACTTCAACAAACCACAACCCCCTCCCAAAAAGAATCACAGCTCGTAGGCTGTTGCTTCAGCTTGATTCACCGTCACCACCATGCCAGAAGCGCCTAAGCTCGTGCTGCCGCCAGCTGTGGTTCCGGAGGAGCACCGGCAAGCTCTCCATTTCATCGAAGATGTGACCGCGAACGCCGACCTCGTCCAGCGCCGCGTGCTTGTGGAGATCCTCTCGCAGAACGCCGCCGCCGATTACTTGCACCGTCACGGCCTCTCCGGCCGAGCTGTCCCCGACCCCGACGCCTTCAAGCGCCTCGTCCCGGTCGTCACCTACGAAGATCTCCAGCCCGACATCCTCCGCATCGCGCATGGTGACACCTCCCCCATCCTCTCCGGCCGCCCCATCTCCGAATTCCTCACCAGGTGCGTGTGCTTCTCATTTTGCCATACGGCGTGGCATCATTGGTTGAGCGTGCACGGTCAACACGTGTTGCGCGGTTAATCGTGGTTCATGCCCTCTGTGTCTTGCCAATAGCTCCGGGACGTCGGGCGGCGAGCGGAAGCTGATGCCGACGATCGACGATGAGCTCGACCGCCGCTCTCTACTCTACAGCTTGCTCATGCCGGTGATGAGCCAATTCGTGCCTGGCCTCGACAAGGGCAAGGGAATGTACCTGCTTTTCGTTAAGTCGGAGGCGCGGACTCCCGGTGGCCTCGTCGCCCGCCCCGTGCTCACCAGCTACTACAAGAGCCGCCACTTCCTCAGCCGGCCATTTGACCCCTACAACGTCTACACCAGCCCGAACGAAGCCATCCTCTGCTCGGACTCCTACCAGAGCATGTACTCTCAGCTCCTCTGCGGCCTTATTCAGCGAACCCAGGTGGTTCGCGTTGGCGCCGTCTTTGCATCCGGCTTCATCCGCGCCATACGCTTCCTGGAGAAGCACTGGCCCAGCCTCTGCCGCGACATCAGGACCGGCGAGCTCGACCCCGACATCACCGACCGGGCCGTGCGCGAGGCGGTGGCGTGCGTGCTGCGCCCGGATCCGGAGCTGGCGCTGCAGATCGAGACCGAGTGCCGCAAGGGGTCGTGGCAGGGCATCATATCCCGGTTGTGGCCCAACACCAAGTACGTCGACGTGATTGTCACCGGTGCCATGGCACAGTACATCCCGACGCTTGATTTCTACAGCGACTGCCTGCCGCTGACGTGCACGATGTACGCGTCGTCGGAGTGCTACTTCGGGCTCAATCTCGACCCCACGTGCACGCCCAGTGACGTCTCCTACACGTTGATCCCCACCATGGCCTACTTCGAGTTCCTCCCCATCCAAAAATGCAGCGACAACGGCGGTGTGGAGTTGGATCACCACGACTTGGTCGACCTCGTCGACGTGAAGCTCGGCCAGGAGTACGAGCTCGTCGTCACTACCTACGCTGGCAAGTGACATCGACCGACTTGTGTAGTTAAACAAGACGGTGGTGGCGGCAAAATTCAACTAAAAGTGGAGGTTTGGTTTTACATGTCTCGCAGGGCTGTATCGGTATAGAATCGGTGACGTGCTGAGGGTGGCGGGATTCAAGAACAAGGCACCGCAATTCAACTTCATTCGGCGGAAGAATGTGGCGTTGAGCATCGATTCCGACAAGACCGACGAGGTGGAGCTCCACGACGCAGTGGGTAACGCGGTGAACAACCTGGAGCCATTTGGGACGTCGCTGGTGGAGTACACCAGCTACGCGGACACGTCGAGCATCCCCGGCCACTACGTGCTGTTTTGGGAACTGCGTGCCGGTGGGACGCCGGTGCCACCCTCGGTGTTCGAGGACTGCGGCCTGACGGTGGAGGAGTCACTGAACAGCGTGTACCGGCAGGGGCGAGTGTGTGACAAGTCGATCGGGCCGCTGGAGATCCGCGTGGTGGCGGAAGGGACGTTCGACAAGCTAATGGACTATGCGCTGAGCCAGGGCGCCTCCATCAACCAGTATAAGGCGCCGCGGTGCGTGCGGGCAGGGCCGGTCGTCGACCTGCTGGATGGGCGAGTGAAGTCCCGGTTCTTCAGCCCCAAGTGTCCCAAGTGGCGGCCGGGCCACAAGCAATGGAACATGGACGATACTGGCATCTAATGCAAATCGTCATCATCTAATCGGAGAGTACAAGTCGGAGCAGTGGATATTAGCTTTTAGTCACAATAGCCAGCGGTTAAATGTAGAGAAATAGGTGTCCTTATTCTCCCTCCCTCATTTTTCCTACTTCCTCTGCTAGTTTTTCTTTTTTGGTTCCCCTTTTGTCTTTTTCGCTTTTGGAGTTTTAGATAGTATACGAGTAGCTTCGCTAGGAGGTCATCTCAGCTTTGTACAAACTACCACTCTCGATCGAGGAAGGGATGCCTTTCTCTCAAGTAATGTTATGATGTTCTTGTAGATTCAGAGCTTCCATTTCATGCCCACTCAGCGTTGGCAACTCTGAGAAGTCGTCATGTCTTGGTTCATGACCCCAATCACAAAAGAAAAGGGAAGCGACTTTGACATGACAAAGAAGCACATCATCTTCACTCGTTTCTCTGATCAGGATGGCTGCTTTTTCTCCACTTGTTTCATGTGTGCACACTTGTTCCAGCTCCATGGCATTGGTTCCGTGCTCCTGCAGACGACAACTCGAGAAAAAATTCCTGGTGATGTAATTCTAAACTCGCCTCCGATCGACATGCTCTGCTTTCGTTGTCGATGATAAGTTCAAAACAGGGTGCGGTCTTTGCTTGTCAGTTTGCACGGAACCTTCGGCGTGACATCCGACGATGGTTCACAGAATGTTGGCGAGGAAGCGAGTAGAGACAGTGGATGTGGCCAACGACTGACTATGCTTGAGTTGGAGTAATCCCACGAACCGGCGGCTGTCTTCATCTCGGAGGCTTCTTCACCCGCACCGACGTTACCGCACGCAAGAGGACTTGCAAGTTTCATTTGTCAACGGGGGATCCCATCTGCATCCTGTTATGACACTACAAATATAGCCAGAGTGCAGGCCGGTGATCCAAATCGAAGCAGTAAATCCGTGAGCGAGTACAATTCATTATCCTGGAGAAGACATTAGAGCAGCTCTAAGAACACACAGGTGAACCGAACACACTAATTAAGTCAAAGAAAGAACGCCTCGATCTTAATTCCTTTTACCTGTGGATCATTATTAGCTGGTTTCCACTATTTGTTAATAAGATGGATCAAGCATAACAAGTCTCCACTTGTTAACACTTTATGTTTTTTGTTTGCGAACGAGTCACAACAACGAGTCTGAATCGATTACCTGCTTCCTTCTTTTCCTGTTACCGACCCATCATATCTACGCTAAAGGCAGATGAGCAGAGAAGACAAGAAGAAGAACGGCGTGAGGTATGGAGGGATTCCCCACCGGCGGAGCGCCGACCATTCACGTGGCGGTCGCACGGCGTTGTCGTGTTGACCCGGCGCCGCCCGCCCGCCTACGGAGCTGCACGTGCGCCCGGGGGGTGGGGGGAAGCGCCGTGGCGGTGGCACCCGCACGTGCGCGGAGGCATTGCCGGTCGGCAGTGCCCATGCCTTGGGTTTTGGGTCGGTGGGGGGTGTGAATGAGTATGGCACCGAATCGTGTGACCAACCATCCATCGTGAGTCGTATGTTAGAAATACTCCCAAAAACAAAAACACTGTGATTCTAATATCCTCTTGACATTATCGCACACGCTCATCTCTTCTCATGTCACGACGAAGACCATCCGAGGAACAAAAAGAGAAGAAAAAAAATGCATATGGACTGGAGGTCGATTGCGTCCTACCAACCTTATCCTAGCAAGACGTAAGGAAGGAACACATGGTAGCTGCCAACAGTGTGTTCACCGAGCAAAGTGGAGGAAGAAACAAAGGGAACATGCACTTGATTGCCTACGAGTCACGTATTGCAACGTGAGTCATGCCCTGTCAATCCCAAGACATACATCTGCGGGCGTGGGTCAGTCTCACGGTGGATTGATTGGGCATGATGGTGGTTGACTCGGGTTTAACTTCATCCTTATCTCAAACCCCAACTTCCACAACACCCTACGCTACCGAATGAATAGTAAGTCAAACATATGCCAAAAGCATCAAAGCACAGAGACGATGCTATTCTGGGATGGGATGGGATGGGAAGGGAATGGTCTCGTCTCACACTGGAGCAATAGTTTTCAACTCATCGGTTGGTTTTGAGCTGTCCGGCACTACTTTGCTGCAGACCTGTTGACTCACAAATACGGGGATAAATGTCGAAACGGAGATCAGCTACAGCAACGATATCTCCTCTGTATGTTGTCCGCACTGATCACCACCAGTGGCAACTATCTATCTATCTATCTATCTCTCTCATTGGACATGAATCAAACTGTTGCAAGACTAATCTATTTCTTTTATCCTCTAGAAACACCCATCCTGAGAAAACCTTACATGCAACAAACACTCTACAATCTATCTATCTATCTATCTATCTATCTCATTGGACATGAATCAAACTGTTGCAACACTAATCTATTTCTTTTATCCTCTAGAAACAGTAACGCCATCCTGAGAAAACCTCACATGCAAGAAATTAACTCTACAATCTATCCATCTCACACTGTACATGAATCAAACTGTTGCAAAGACTAATCTATTTATTTTATCCTCTAGAGACAGTAATACCATTCTGAGAAACCCTCACACGCAAGAAATAACTCTACAATATTTGGGCAGGAAAGGAATCACATTATGCTAATTGATCAAAAGGAATGTGCATGTGTTGCAGTTCAGCGAAAACCAAGCTACCTACACATGTAAGAAAAACTCTATGATAAGAAAAGATCACAAAACTCTTTCCTGCTTACCAAAATTCTCGCATCAATAAGACCAGCAGAACAGAATTCAAACGCTGCAAGGATGGTTTCATAGCATTGCCTAACAATGTCCTTTTCCAACATCAGAACCCAGTTGTTGTCCATGTTGTAAGTTCGGTTTGTTAGGTTTATGCTTCCCAGTCTCAGGATCCTACATGTCTTTTCTAACTATAATCGTATTCACAAGTGCCGGTTAGGTCAGCTAACTATTTCTAGCTAACTTAAGTGTCCCCTCACAACTCTCAAGCAGTCTTACCTGCCCCTCCCAATCCTACCAGTAATAGCAGCACCTTTAATCATGTATAAGGATTTTACCAACACAATGTTGTTTTACAGTTAATCTAGCATGCTTATGGGAGTTCTAGCTGATAATGGTAATAACTAATTATTACTACCAAATGGGGCCTCTTACAACTTTACAATCAACTCAAGGTTCACGTATTAGCAACATTTTTAAGAGAGAGAGAGAGAGAGAGAGAGAGAGAAAGAAAAAAGAAAAAAAAAAAGAAAACGTAAACAACGAAAGGGTA